CACAGCGTACTACTTGGGGCGGCATAGCGGGAGGAAATTGAGCTGGCAGGCGAATATGGGGAATGCGGACCTGAAAACGTCGTTCAAAGGTGTGAAGAAAGAGCTGAACGTGTCTACATATGCCATGGTGGTATTATTGGCCTTCAACAACATCCCTGCTGGGGAGTCGATATCGTTCGAGGTAACTCCCTCTATTTTCACTCACCTAAAGTGTGCTAACCACATCCACAGGACCTAACAACCATCACGTCGATTCCCCAAGCCGAGCTGATCCGGACCCTTCAATCCCTTGCTGCGGTCCCCAAAACGCGTATTTTACGTAAAAATCCGGCCACAAAAGACGTCCGTCCCACCGACACATTCGCCATCAACGAGTCATTTACTTCCAAATTCACTCGGATAAAGGTCGGGATGGTATCCGCCAACCGGGCAGAAACTGAGAAGGAGCGAAAGGATACCAGCGAGAAGGTCGACGAGACGCGGGCGCATCAGATCGAGGCGGCCGTGGTAAGGATCATGAAGCAGCGGAAGGTATTGAGCCATGCCGAGCTCGTCAGCGAGGTTATCAGTCAGTTGAAGGGGCGGTTTAATCCCGATGTGGCCATGATTAAGAAGAGGATTGAAAGTCTGATGGAGAGGGAGTATCTGGCGAGAATTGACGGTGAGAGGCATACTTACAAGTATTTGGTACGTTTTAATATTTTCCCTCTTGGCTGGTTATTACGGTGCTAACAGGGTTTTTGGTGATTTGTAGGCTTAATTTTAGTCTTGGTCTTCTCGAGGTTGTATCCGCTTCGCTTCATATATAGCGAAGCAAAGAGTATTACTTAAAAACTACCCCAAATGCGCCCCGTCCTTACTTATGCATGTATTTCTCCTTCTGGATATCAAACGCGTTGGGACCTTTTTTCTTTTTTTTTCCTTCCAACTTCATTGGGGTCCTTGAGACTTGTTTTTTCCACTTTTCATTGGCGGTTCCATTTCTCTGTTTTCTTCACCTTTCATGTGATTTATTGTTTGTGGGTAGGGCGTTCTGTTAGCGAGATTGAGAGGATTTGATGCTTGCGGAGGAGAAGCTCAGGGGTGGAGGAGAGGCTCGGGGGTGGAGGAGAGGCTCAGGGGTGGAGGGGAGGAGAAGAGATTCGGGGGTGGAGGGGGGAGAGTGTATTATTCTACATATGATTACCTTCTTGATCATGACCTCTTCTCGTGGTGCGGGTGTGCGTGCGTGTATGAGTAAAGCCCGAAATATCTGCGATGAGGCCTGTGGCGAACTAGGGTCAGTAGCTGTTATCTTTTCAACCTTCTTTGCGGTACTGATATCCTCGTAGTCGTAGTAATCATGGGAGAGTAGAAAAGTACCAATATTCAAGCCCCAAACAATATATATAAAAAAAAACAGCGAGGTCTAGAAGTACATAGCACCCGCTAAATAAAATACAATCACAAACTATCACTCGCTCCGCAATCCCCTCAGCCCTACGAAAGCGGGCCGGGCTAACGAGAGGCAGAGAAGTACAGGGCCTTATCATCGCTAGAGGAGTATATCATATACAGAACACCCCGAACACAGTAAACTACGCGGGAGGTTCCTACTCACAGGCATTGTAGGTGATGGTGGTGGTTGTGCTGCTGGTGGAATTTCAAGTCTGCTTATACGCGCTCTGCACTACACACATACACAGTGGAGGTACATGTAACGTGTTGGTGCTCTGGGCTTCCTTGTTGCTGTTGTTAGCGTTCTCTTGGGTCTGCACATGGTGGTGTCTGGTATAGTGTGTGGTATGGTGTAGTTATGCTGGATCATAGATTATCACTCGCTGTATTTACCAGTGTTGCGGGAACCTTTTTGAACGAAGAAAGCTATTTTATTTACCACCCATGCATGTTTAAAAGCTAGCTACACCGAATCCCACCTACTACCAGAAAGTAAAGGGAAAAAAAGAAAGAAAAAAAAGAGAAAAAGAACAAACAAGAGAGGGGGCACAACCAGCTACATGTAGCCATGCCCCCGGATATCAAACCCCCCCACCCTCACCCTCACCCCTCCCCCCGGCCCCGCCCCCACAACCATTACCTCCCCCCTCCTCCCTTTCCCCCCAACGTTACCCACTACTCCAAATCCCTCCCCCAAATCAACGCCACCTTCCTCCGATACCCCTCGCGGCACTTCTTCTTCTTCCCCACCTTCCCCAGCCCCTCGATGCCCCTCGCCACCATCACCGCCTCCGCCCTCTCGTCCCCCCCCCTAGTCCTCACCTTCAGCACCACCACCGCCCCCTCATCATACGCGAAGAATCGAAGCCGCTCAACATCACCCACAATCCCCGCCGGATACACGTCCCCCACGACACCCGCCACGGCGCCGCAGTAGCGTGCCCAGTACGCGAACTCGGGGCCGACGAGGTCCTCCAGCCGCGTTTTGAGGTCGGAGTCACTCACCTCGCCGCCCCACCGCTCGCAGAGGGCCAGCGCCAGCAGCGCCCGCGTCTCGTGTGTCAGCCCGTGTGCAGACGCCAGGATGCCCGTCGTGGTAGCGTGGAGTCCGCAGCTCGGCCGCGACTCCTTCGGGATGTTGGAGTGGTAGATGAGCATGTTGGCGAGCGCAGGCACGATCTCCGCGCGGAAGATATACGGCGTCGACCGCGGGAGGGCGTAGTTGAGGAGCTCTCTGATCTTGAGTGTGTCGCGGGGTGCGTGTGCGGAGGTAGCGACGACGAGCGGGTCCTGCGCGCGCGTGGCGGTGTCGAGGCGCTCGTAGAGCGCGCCCTCGCGCACGCCGCCTTGGCAGAAGATGACGGTCTTGATGGTGGGGAGGGTCTCGACGAGGGCCGAGATGAGGAATGCGACGGCGGGGACCTGGCGCGCGCGCCGCTCCGAGATGCGGAATTTGTCGTCGAGGCGCCGTGTCGTCTCGGAGGTTAGGTGGAAGTCGGCTAGGTCGGAGAAGGCGCTGCCGGGCGCTTTGAACCCATTGATGATGGGGACGGGGTAGGGCTGGATGGGGTGCTGGTCTAGCAGGAGGAAGCCGAAGCCCCGGAACCCCCCGCCGGAGAGGTACAGTGTGTACCCGCCCTCGTCGTCGGCGTAGTCGGCGAGCTCCTTCGGGATGTCGAGGCCTGTGATGGCGGCCGCGACACGGCCCTTGATCTCGTCCTTCAGCTGCGCGATGGCCTCGTCGTTGATTGCCGTCTCGCGGCGCTTCGTCAGTGCCGCGGCACCATACGGCAGCGACACCGCCGCGGCCGGCATGCGAGTCTTTCCGTTCTTCGAGATCATCCACGTGAGCTGCGTGCTGCCGCCGCCCAGATCCATCACCAGGCCGCTGACCTCGTTGAACGAGCTCGCCACGCCCTCGGCGCCGATGCGGCCCTCGTCCTCCTTCGTCAGCAGCTCGACGGTCCAGCCCGTGGCGGCGTGGATGCGTTCGCGGAACTCGAGGGAGTTTTGGGCCTCGCGGGTGGCCTCGGTGGCTACGACGCGGATGTTGCCGGGGGGCACGTTGAAGTCGGCGCAGACGGATGCGAAGCGGCGCATGGAGACGAGGATGGCGGTGATGACGTCTTCGCTGATGGGCGACTTTGTGGTGCCGGTGAATTGGGCGTCGTAGAGGGAGATGGGGGCGCGGTCTTGGAAGATTGTGGGCATGATGCGGGCGGTGGAGGGGTGTAGGTTAGAGATGGAGAAGCGGACGCCATTGCTGTGGTGGGTGGGGCTGTTAGTTGGCTATAGCTATAGCTGTGGGAGGGGGGGAGCTTGGGGGGAGCTTGGGGAGGGGAGCTGGGAGCTGGAGCTTACCTTCCAATGTCCACTAGGCCCCTTAGCAGCGAATTGTCGGTGGTGGTATCAGCTTGCACCATGGCTGTTAGTTTTGGGAGGAGTAACAGCTTCCAGAGGTAGTAGAGGGAAGCAATCGTGACGGTATTGGAGGTTAGATGTTATATAGATAGAGCAGCTTTCTGCTAATGGTGATGTCAAGCTGTCTCAGAGCAAGCAAAGTAGGGATGGATGGATGGATGGATGGATGGATGGATGGATGCTGAGAGATTGACCGTTTCCTTGGACAAGCGGGGTCCCATGACGCGGGGCAGCAATCACCCACGACCACCACCCACCAGAGGACAGATGACTAAGCCTGAAAACTGGATTTACCCAGCTTTGGGTGTCGTTGCCCATGAGCTAGCTTCTGCGTCAATTGCTATAGCTGTCGCGTCTTAAGCACACAGCTACATGTAGCCATCAATACAACACCAATGCCCTTATCAGTACCCTCTATTCCGACAGTATACCTCTAATAACTTACCAGAAACACGGTATATCATATCAGCTCCCCACATCTCCCCAAAGCTGTAGATTCCAAAAGTCCTGTCTTCTGTCCGTCTTCTGTCATCTCGTAGCGGGGTCAGGAACACATGACGTGGTCTTGGCGATCAGGGTCCAACCGGGTTCTAAACTAGTAGCCCCGGGATGTTTTCTTGGCGGTGGTCGCGTGACTGGCTGCTTCTATCGATATCGATGTCAATTGTAGGCTCTGAGATTAATTGTAGCAGTGGTTTTTTTCTTCTTTTTTCAATTGAATAATTGTGATGATGGTAGTTGGGTGTAGGTGGTGTGGGTGTATTAGTAGGTAGTGAATACCATGAGGAAGAATCTTGAATGCGGAATCATTGACACTCGCACACTACTAGCCAAAAAGCTAAATACTGTAAAAGCTCGATAGGTGAGTTTGGGCTCATCTATCGAATCCGAGCTCTCTGATTCTCTACTGTTATTCACCCTGCATTTTTGGTTTAGGCCCGGGCTCACCTATCAAGATTATCTGTATTTCCGGATTGAAAAATGCTAAGAGTTAAGATTCTAAGCTAAACCACCTCTGTCACTTAACAGCTAAAAGCTACGTATCTATCACAAATCACAGCTACACACAACTCACTCACCCAGAAAAAAAAACTCCATTAAGCCACACAAATGCTACAATACATGACCCGGCCCTCCCCCCGCTACAGGCTGAAATCAAACTCCTTAAACGCCCCCTTAAACCTCTCGGCATCACCCTTCTCCTCCTCCAGGCTCAGCACACAGTCCTTCCAGTGCACCGTCTGCAGCCCCAGCACCTTCGCCAGCACTCTGCGTCCTACACGCCCACACACACCTCCGTTAGCACACCCAACCCCAAAAAACCCAAACCCAAAAACAGAGGGAAAAGAGAAACTAACCAAACTGCAAATCAAAATACTCGCCACCCCTCAATGGCAGCACCAGCGCGCCCTCCTGCCCCCCCAACCACACCCTAAAATAGTCCTCCCCTTCCCGGACCTCCCGCCTCTCCAACGCCGCCAATCCGTCCTTCTCCGCCTCGCTCCTAAACGCCGCCTCCACGTCCGCCATCTTGTCTGCCGGCACGGGCACAACCTGCCAATGCGCATGCACGCCGCCCGCGCGCGCAATCTCGAAGGTGACGGTGCCGTAGCCGCGGGGCTCGAGCATCTGGCTGATTGCGTCCTTGTACCGCGTCATCTCGGCGAGCGTGCTCTCGCGTGAATCGGCGTCGTCGATGAGCGGGAGTGTGGGCGTGTGGGTGAGGGGGATGATGAGGATGTGGGATGCGAAGGGGAGGGTGGCGGATGCTTTTGTGAGGGGCCCTTTGGCGGTGGTGAGGTAGGCGTCGTTGCCGATGGAGACGATGAGGTGCTTTTCGAGCTTGGGGTATGAGAGGCAGAAGAAGCAGTTTTCGGCTGTTGGTTCTGTTTGTTAGCCTTGGTAACTCTGGGTTATAGGATAGGTAGAGGAGATACATACGTCCAAGTGGGGGTTTTGGCGCCCTTGATCCGCCATGCGGCCCCTTCCCTCTCTTGCCGCCTCGGTCATCGCGGATGTGCTCGCCCCAGAAGAAGGAGCCGCCGCCGTCCGCCTGGCCCGCCGTCCGCTTCTTGGTCTTCTCCTTGTACGGGCTCTGCGTGGCGTTCGGCGGCACAACGACATTGGTCTCCTTCGGTGTGATGCTGAACGCATACAAGCTCTTCGCCTTCGCGTCATTCCCCCAATCGCCCACGCCCAGAAACCTCGTCACCCGCACCTCCCCCTTCCCATCGCTGTCCCTCGCCACATTTTTATATGGTTCCCGCTCCCAGAACGCCGCACCCGCCGCCGCAAAATGGTACCGCGGGCGAATCATCATGGCGAGCTCCGCAATCGACGGACTACCACCACCGCCGAGAGCAGCGGGCAGAGGCACTGCGCTACCACGCTCGATATCTGCCGGCCAATCGTACGTCAGCAGCAGGTCGGCGCTGTTGCAGCCCTTCAGCGTCTTCGCGTCCTGCGGGGAGTAGTACGGGAGGTCTGCCGCTTCGCCAGCCTCTGCCTTCGCGTCAGTCTGGACATTTGCGTCGAGACGGCCGCCGAGCGCGACGATGCGCACGCCCTCGGAGGTGTTGAGGACGGTCTTCTTGCCGAGGAAGAAGAGGTTCTCGCAGACCTCGCCGGAGGAGGCGATTTTATCGCGGACGCTGGGCGGCAGCGAGTGACGCCCGAGGCCGAAGTAGGTGGGCAGGGGGACCTTGATCTCGCCGCGGAGGAGCTTCTGGATGTTTTCGGTGTCGCTGGGGACATCGGAGGTGCCCGGGGCGGCGAAGAGGTCGCCGAGGAGGAGGGCGAGGGAGAATTTGTTTTTTGTGTGTAGGGCGGTGGCTTTTGTGAATGCTTCGATGAAGCGGCCGTTTGTGGCTCCGATGACGAGGCTGCGGAGAGATGTAGAGAGTCAGTGGGGGGGCGAGGGGATCTTGAGGGGATTGTGGGAGGTGGGAGGGGAGGGAATGCGTACATTTTGGCAGCCATTGTGGGCATGGGGGAGAAGTGAGGAGGAGTGAGGATGGGTCGTTGAGGATCTTTAAAGAAAGGCAAATTCAGGAAAACGCGACGTTGGCGACGGTTGCACGCGCCAAGGGTTTGCGTCATGGATTCTCGTTCGGGTGCCTGCCAAGAAGCATGGGGTTGTGGAAGCGTTCCAGAAAGCGACTGCAATCTCTGGTGCCTCATGCGAGTTTCGCTTTACACTGATTTATAGCATGAAACAATAGCGGCAATAGTGGAGATAAAGACTTAGAGATCATATTCTCCATAACGTACTGCCGTAAAATCCCCGGAACAATATTGTTAGGGGATATTTCCCCTTGAGCTCAAATCCACTTAGCCCAAAGCATAGCTCGACCACTGATAGTGCAGTTTCCACTCCCGATCTTCGTTATTTCCAGGTCATGCAGTGCATGTATAATGTAAATACTTAGTAGTTCGATCTAGCTAGAGGTTCCGGCGTATTGCGGCGTTTTCCCAATCCATATTCTAGCATGCATCCCCAACCAACTTATATTGAAACCCACATATTTTTGGTGATTTCAATGCCGTTATTTTTAATATTGACGGAATATGGGCTGGTATATTTAATAACTCTCACTAGATGCCAGAACATCGAGTGATACCTGATGATCGGACCTGCTGTTGTAGATATTCAATGGACGGCATTTCTGACACGGAGTATGTAGTCATCTCGATCAGTACAATATTGTAGGCTTGTTGTAGGAGATGTGAGAAGACCCAATAGGTAATAGGATGGATGATTCCATTACGAAGGAGGATGAAAGCCGATCTGCTTATACATAAAGGTGACACGTCTAGTTAGGCTAGACTATGGACACCGTTATTAAAATCATCTTAAAACCGAGAGCCAGTCGACGTAACGTATAGACACTTGGAGAATAAGAACGAACTAGCCGTTTCTAGAGATATAACCTTCCCTATCCCCCTTTGTACTTACTCTTCCGGATAGGAATAGAAAGCGCCCCGGAGGACCGAAAAGCACCTACGCATCGCGGCTTTGCGTGATATATGAAGGGGAGTTTATTGACGGAACTAATGTGGCTTGCGCATTCACCGACCGGCCACAGTTTTGGATAGGTTCCTGTTTTGACGCTCCTAGCTGGTCTCTGGAACAGATACATGTAGAGGACATACATGTTTGCGGTGCTATCTTATGGAATATAGAATTTGATTCCGGTATCATATTTTGCTCCAGGAGTTCCTACGACAGGATACCCAGTGTCCCGAGTAGAAGGCCCATAATCTTCATCACACCCACTCACTCGTTATCCTTCTATTACTTCGCATACCATATTCAAACCCATGGCTAGCGGCAAAAATTCCAGCCCTTCAAAGCAATATTAAATCCTTCAATTTCCGCACTCCCACCCCTACCAGCTGAGAAATAGTATTCCAGAAACACTCGATATGGAACATAAATATCCCACACTCACCCTCGTTGTCAGCACCTCAAAACTTCCCCAAAACACAAACTCCGCCACCACTGCAACAAACCACAACCTTCTACTCTTCACAATGGGTCTCATCGACAACGTCTTTAAAACCAAGGCCGTCCGCGAGGACAAGCGCTCATCCCGACTAATAAAGAAGGACAATAAAGCGCAGGTCCGCACATCAAGCTCGACGTTGTGTAGGGGGTGTAATAAGCACTTTGTTCTCAACGGGAAGATTTGTGAGAGATGTATGTATACGTCTGACCCCGTAGATGACCTAGACTTTTTGCTGATAGGGATATAGGTGAAACGTGGTCCAAGGTTCCGCAGAAACTTTACTGATTAAACGAAGGGTGTTACAGTCGGGGGGCGTGTCTAATACATCTCTCGAACTTGTTGGCGGAATTAGGGTTTTTTTTAAAAGTTGTTTGTTATTTATTGAGCTTAGGTTATTTATTTTCTTTCTTTCTCGGTTGATCTGGGCTCTGTTCCTTCTTGTTGGAGGACCTGAGTGCAGTGCGAAGGCTTCAGCTGGCTGGACCCAGTTGAGGTGCTGTTATTTTTCTTAGCGGATTGTACATATGGAGTTAGATATGTACATACGTATAATAAATTTGTATTAACTTGAAGGCTTACTATAGGAAGGCTGTATATGTGCTTGTATATTGTGATTTTAATCAATATAAGTAATAGCGTTTTTCGGCCTCCACAGATGATATGATATCTCTGTAGATGTTGATGGAGGTGTGTTGGTAAGTTGCTAGTTTTGTATACATACGTAGAAATATTCCCTAGAGTTATTGTCGCGTGCCATTTAATGGATATAAATTATAAATAAGAAATCGAGTACTCTCAGAGAATTTGAGCTCTGGCTAGTAAAGGGATCAAAACCAAGCCCTCGCCCATTCCATAGACTGTATGTACATACTTCATACTCAATCATGAAGACCTGGCCTATATAGTCGACTTTCGATATAAGGGTACAGTCGGGACCGAAAATCTGTATCCTTATAAGGCGAGTATCATTATAAGTAAAGAGGGATAGATGAAACAGCATTTCGGGACCGCTGATTACGACATCATGATATAATAAAAGCTCTTAGGACAGCTCTGACCCGCGGAGCAAGCAAGGCACATCTTGCTAAACGCCGCTAGAGACTTTCCCGCCATCTGAAGATCCAGGGTAGCTTTGAAACAGGCAACTGCGAGTGAGCAAAATGCACACTACACACCCAAGCTGCCTCCCAGAATTTTGTGAGACAGTAGCCATGGCTACAATCAAGGTGCTCAGGTTGGTGAAGAATCCATAAATCCTGGCTGTAGTTGTGGGACCTACATTGCGGGGGTGGGACAAAGCGTTTGGCTTACTGGCTGTAAGAGGCGGCGGCGGGGTCGGTTGCATATGCAAAGAGGGTAATGTGGTGTGGTCGCTATGAGGGGGGTGGGGGGGTTACAAAGTGGAGGGTCGGTTCCTGAGTCCTGACGAGGTCAGGCCCGGGAGGAAGATCTTTTCGTTGCTGTGAATCAGGAACTCGCAAACCCACATGTGGCTTACCCCCCGGGCACTGCATGACCTGCAACCTATATGGCCGTTCGTACCTATCAGTATTCGTGATAGTCAAACCTCTTTGCTTACTCTCTTGTGTGCGTTGGTAATGTAGGGGAAAGCTGTGCCTACATACCTAACACAGTTCCATGCCACGGGCAAGAAGGTCAAACCTCGGATACGTGTGTAAAAGGTTTTCTGCTTCGCTGGAGAGCTCTGGGTTGTTTTCATATATTGAATGCTCCCTGCCTATATCACGGGTAGTGTAGTCGACTGTCGTACATTGTTTGCACACCGGAAACGTTGAGGCGAGAGAGAGCTGTGTTGGTGAGTGAGAGCTCATGAAGAAGAAGAATGTGATGTCCGGTAAAGCTGTTTTCACAAACGAGCCTTGGTCAGTCGTCACAGCTCGGGATGGTAATTTTGTGCATGTAGTACTGCGGCTCCGGTTCTTGTGTTACAGCAAGTCGGTATCGGTGGTGTAGTATGTGGACAAGTATCAATGCCAGTTGCAATGGGACCAAGGGGAGGCCTGATGATGAATTTTAGCAACTAAGCCGAATAGTTTTGGGTATTGACGTTTCTCGGCAGATGTAAATCCAAATCAATATGCACAGATAAGAAGAATTGTAGGTACAACTAGAGCTTACCGACCCACCATTCTCGTTTCTTAGTACCTTTAAGGATGAATCGAGCCGCAGTACCGTACCACACTTGCACAAATAGTATTGAGAATGACAAAGTGGCAATCTCCTGTCCCACTAGATGATGGTCCCCGCTCACAGCAAACTGAGCCAGCCTTCCTCAGCTGCAGTCAAGCTTCGATCCCAAGGAACATGTACCTGTCAATTGATCCTCAAGGCGCTCTTTATTCGCTGACAGTCATTTAGACTGTAATCACACTAACGCATTATGGCTTAGCTCACCACCTTGTCTTGGCAGGTGTCTTCGCAGCCAATTCATTCCCTTACCCGCCCCCCAACATCGCTTTTCCTTTCTGTGTGTGAGAAGGAAAGTTCAGTGCAGTGGGAGCTCTCTATCTGGATAAGCTCTGGAGGTGTCCCCCAACGACGCGAGATATTCTTCATCATACACACCCACTCTCCCTACACACACATTTACGACCCTGCACGAACGATACGGAAAAAGGAAACATCTCATCACCATCTTACACGCACCTACAGTACAGCACCCATCAAGTCAAGTCATCCACTCACCCGGACAGACAGCAAACGACCCATAGATTCTCATCCTGGCACCCACCTTTCTATAGATCTACACGACGTACCGAAAGATCTCACCGTCCCCCCCCCCCCCCCCCCCCCCCCCCGCGGGACCGTCAGAGCTCTACAACTTAGCAGACACTGAACCATACCTTAACGCGCGCGCCGTACAGAACCTCACGACCCAGCAGCAGTCTACGTCCCTCCCCCGCGTGTCCGACCACTCAGCGCCAAAAATACCCCCTCGTCGCGCGCAGGCGGTGAAGTCGTAGCAGCACCGTTCTAGCACCACCACCACCACCATGCCTCAAGCCATGACGCCCACCGAGGAGGTCGCTAAAGCGCCCACAAAACCCAACACGACACTCGAGATCCGCGCGCCGCCACTGCCGCACATCACGATGGGCTTTATACCTCTGTCGTTACTCATCAATCGTCTGGTGCAGAACTCACACAACAAGCTCGTGGAGCTAATCGACTCGCTACAGAGCTCGGGGCAGAGCGACGGGGAGAAGAAGTTGCGCATCATTGAGCATATGCAGGAGACGCGGAAGCAGTTCATCAAGGTGCTGGTGCTGGTTACGTGGGCTAAGAATGCGTCGGCCGTCAGCGAGGTGATTGATTTGAAGGTGTATCTGGATAGCAGGCAGGATGTCTTTCACAAGGTGGTGTGGAACCTGTACGAGGTGCGCAGGAAGATGAGTTATGCGAGGTACTACTATTCCCCCGTATACTATGTGTGCGGCCTGGTCTTGTGGGCTGCCGGAGGTGACGTGGTAATTATGTACTAAATTGCTATAGAGTCCCGAATCCCGACCTTGATACCGCGGTTCAGGTGCTGTCTACGGGGGTGGCCACAACTTCTATGACTCGCCGCTATGTACCGCCGCCCCCGCTCAGTTCTACGGAGATTCTTAAGACGCTATCCAATATCAATACGCTCCTTGCACTCCGATTTTCGCTGCACTCACCACCGCCCCCGTATTTCAAAGACTATACTATTTCCTCTGGCCGCGCTACATTCAAGGTCGAACATGAATTTGAGGTCGACATGTCTATCGGGGACGAAGACCCTACTTCACAGCTATACCTAATCGACTTCCGACTGGCCTTCGAGCCGGCTGCCGGGGCGCCTTTCCCAGAAACTCTCAAGAACGAGATTGAAGGCCGCGGTAACACGGTACTGAAATCGAAGGGCCTTGAGGGTATCCATGACTTCCTGCACGATTTCTGTCTCACGCACAAGATCAACATCCTGATGCGGCAAGCTCATGAAATGCTCCAAGGGCGCTGGACAGAAAACCTTCGAATCCAGCAGATCAAGCGTACCCTTGTGATCCAGTACTGGACCAACCGTGCTGGTGAAGGCAAGTCATGGATCGAGGTCGGTGTCAAGCGCGGTGTTGCGGGAAAGCCAAGTAGACTAGGTGTGCGATGGATGCGGGAGGGCAAGGAGGTGAAAGACGTCGAGGTACCGCTCAACATCGCGGTACTCTCCGCAGAGGAACTACTCAAGACTGTAATAGCACTGCATACAAAGTGGATATTGACAGGAATACGGGATCGCTTTTCACCACTTCCACTCTTTCCACCGTCATCCCTGCAGCTGAACACACACCCTACCGACTCATTTAACAGCTTCTTGAAGCTGCGACTGACGCCGTCTCGGGCAATCAAAGTGCTCATAGAGCCTATCACTGGACGCTTTGCACTACAGAAGCCCGGATTACTAGCATCGAGCGTAGAGGGAAGAATGAACCAGCAGCCTGGGCAGATTGCGGAGTTGCTGAAGTTGAAATTCTTGGTGCTGCAGGAGGAGATTGAGAGCAGGGCGCGATCAATGGGGTGGGAGATACTGAAGATGATTAGCGTTAGGAAGGAGGAATTCAAGACATTCTTTCCGTCCACAACTCGCTACATGACATTTATGCGTCGGCAAGGCTGGAGTAAAGAATGGGTTATTACGATAGGTCTCGGCGAGACTGGAGAATGCTTCTATGTCAGCAGGATGTAAGTATCATTACCCATGAGTGACAATTCATGAAGCAACTCATACTAACAACTAAACCCACAGCCACGAAGCACCCCAGCAATGGACAGTCTCCCTCAACATCCCTATACCTGTGAATGGTGCTTTAGACGTGACCTATGGCTTCCTAGCCAACCTCGAGAAGATTTCCGCCTCTATCATTACCCTGCACACCATTACAGAAGACCTTACCTCCCGCTCCGTCCAACATCAACTCAAGCCTTCAAAGACAGCAGATACAAAGCTCATCATCCCTGACCTTTACATCCGCTTCTCTTCCCTTATCCCGCGTGCAAATTGGGGCATTGACGCTCTGCGTGTGACCTTTCAATCTCTCTCTGACTCCGGTGCCTGCACACTCACGGTCTGTGGCCGCACCGCCGAGGCAATGACGCACCTTGGCGTCGTAGGAAAGGACATCGCATCAGCCGACTCTGATGTCTCCTTCCACCCGCAGACTGGGAGCTACGCAATCCGCTTTGTAGTCCCAGTCGGCGAGTCAATCATTGACCCCCTAATCGAAAAGCTCTCTCGCATTGAGACGCTCATCAAGTTTGTGGCAGTTATACGCCGGTTCCAGCTACCATGCTTGCATGTGAGCCTTGGCCGGATAGGCTTCAAGTACTCGAATGATGCGCACAGCACAGCGGAGGTGTCGTTCGGCGCGGACGATAATAATGACACCAAGATGCGACTGCACTTGCCCCCGCGAAGCCCGCACGCGCGGATAAAGCACTTCCTCGAGAACTCGCTGAACACTTCTGGGCTCGAGATCGTAGTCATGGCCTTGACTGTGACACTACCCCTACTTCTAGCCTTCACAGATCTCGAGTCAACCCCCCCCAACCAGCGTGACGACGCACTGTTCATACTTCCTCGAAACGTAGACTGGTACCGTGTAGAGTATAGACTTGCGGGTGTGGTGCTAGACTGGCGACTCAAGTGCCGCAAGAGCGTGCTGTACTGGTATGTTCAGGACGCGGCAGTAGCAGGCGCGGAAAGCGAACGCGGCGTTAGGGGTGGCGAGAATAGGCGGAAGGCAGAGATGCTCAAGCCGCTCTGGTGTGGTGAGATTGAGGGCGAGTGGGAGGCGCTGAAGATTGGCGCCGCTGCTGGCGTCAGGGGAGTCGGGGCGCTAGTGAAGGCCGTAGATGCGCTGGTGAGAAGGCCTATACCTGGCCAACAGCAGCAATCACAGCAGGCATAGGGTGTGAAGAATTAGGATTAGGAGTAAACTTGAATCTGGGCGGCTGTATTATATCTTTCCCGTTCTCTTTGCTTAAAATCTTTGTGTTTTCTTTATTCTGTCACTTGGTTTTTTTTATGGTGTTTTTGTGTCTAATTTTCTTCTTTCCTGTTTTTTCTTCCTTCTTACTTAACTTACTACCTTTGAGGAGCGGATCGGTTTGGACAATGGACCTACATGCATATAAGTATCAGAGCTCTATCGAGGGCCACAGCGAAGTACCCTCGTTTGCTGCACACTCTTCCTGTTTTGCTGTTGATTTCTGTTTGACCTATATTTACCCGCCCCCACCCCCTATTGCATTTTACTCATGCCTCTAGCTCTTCTTCTATTATCACTATTTTTGGTGCATGGCCGATGGCGGGGGTTCATTTCATTTGTTCCATGTGTTACGACCTGGGGCGGCGGCGGTGGGCGGGGTGGAGGGTAATCTTTAAAAAAAATTGGGAATGGTGGGGCGGGGCGGGGGTGGGGATATAGATAGATGTGGATTTGAAAGACTTTTCTCGGTGGAAGAATCGGGCGTGTGTGGGGGCCGGTAGAGAGGCGGGTTGAGCTGATCTGTGGTGTCTTTGATTGTGCGTGGTGCTTGCTAAGATTAAGGTAGAGAGATCAGTGGTTATATACATCATGTAGTGATAGTACTGTGACACTTCATCGGAGTTGCGTGCACGTACGCGTGGGGAATGTACTGTAGCTCCATGAAGGCGAGATTTATTCATGCCCTCCATCTTCTTGGAATGAACATGTTATGTAGTTTTCTTTGGAAATCAGCTTGATGATGGGAGGCCGTTGGTGCTCTCCCCGCCGAATTAAAAAAAATTATGATTTTCGTTAGGGTTCCCTATTCTTGATGCGTTGACATGAAGAATCATGTATTTCTGTATATGCAGGCCCTGCTTATTATAACCACTGGGGAGTTCCCCCCCCCTCACCTGTCCCATTTTATGATTAGGTAGCTAGGTTAAAATCCGAGTCTTCGCCAGCGCTGTTTGTTCCTGTCGTCGATGCAGTATGTAGGTTATATGAGAGGACAAGATAACAAGGTACTGAAGCCTAAAGCAGCCCACAATATCAGTGGCAACGGCAGCTAAGTTAGAACTCGGCTGAGAAAGTTTTTCCAGTTGAAGTTTCGGTCCTAGCATAGTCGGGAATAAGATGGTGGCTATAATGGGAGGGGGGCTCGTACGAACAGGTGGCCACGCCTTCGATATCTCTTCTTTCCTGTTTTCCTTCGATCGTCTTCCTATGTTGTCGCCAATACAACATGCGTGCTGTCGTCGTTCTACCTCTTATTAGCTCTGGATCTACCCTCACCCGCAAAGGACCATCATTGAATTGCTATAAATACTCTACTGCTTTCACGGTTTTCAGTAAATGTGCTCTACACCGCCCGTGAATCTCTCATAGACTAGCTCTCTATTTTTCTTTCTAGGCATAGGGTCACAACTTTAAGTGGAGTGTCTTAACCCATCTGACATCTCCTTATGGATAGATACTATAATGAAAACTCCCTACTACGCTTCTCTGGCACGGCCGCTGCTATCTTAGTTGACATAGAGATTACTCGGGGCAGGTAAAAAGTACCGGACAATGCAGGTTTTTGGTTCACCAATGGGTGCGCGTGCTAGGCGTGAACTACTGCAAAAAAGGCCCAGAGACAAAACTTGCATTATCCGGTACTTTTTGCCTGCCCCGAGTAGTATCGGAAATGACAACTAGTCCCATAGTAACAGACGGCCAAGACACTGCCTGCCCGGAGATAAAGCGGTTTTGACTCCGCTTCAGATGAACCCCCACGAAAAGGGGCTGCAGGTACGGCTGGAGACCGTCGGTCCCAGATGAAATTGTAGTAGGAGTACTGGCTGACTCGGAGATGCGTTTTCAGTTGAGTTTAGTGCTCGAACTTAATATGTTGGAGCAGATAAGCTACGAGAGCCGTGAACCGGGTGAGACTCGAGGGCAGATGCAGGGTCGCTGAGCTTTTTAGGGGCCTACCCGGCCCACGCCAGCAAAGACCAGTAGAAGAGCATTCTAGGGCGAAAGAAGCTATCTCCACTACGTATTTCTTAATTCTCTAAGATATACTCACTTACGAGACCATGTTTGTTTCTAGGGCCGTGGGACATTCGATAAAAGTTAATCTCTCGCCAGTAACCCATGTGGGCTTTTTGCACCTGCACCAACATCATCCACAGCAAAACTAAAACTCCTCTAAAACGACACCTACCTATAGGGAAACGTTTTCACCCTGTCGCGAAAATTATCATCTAGATTTGGTCATAGCTATCATTACCACTTCATAGGACGTCACTCGGGCTTGGCACAGAAATATATTTAGCTGACATATAAGTACATGTAGTATCCATCCCTCTCATCCTCTGACAACGCCTCGTCAACACCGCCAAGACTTGACGAGAGCGGGGTATCCTCTCTAATAAAGACTTTTCTTTGGCTTCACCACCAAAGATTAGTCGCACCGATCCTTTTCCTCCCATGACTCGGGTCACATAAAAAGGAGTGACATTTCGCACGATCGCCTGGAGAGCCTTCGTCAACCTCATCCTAGTTCTTGTCTTCATTGACAAGAACCCCACCACTCTGGGGACCTTTCATACAGGTCCCTTTCGGTCGCAAACACTACTCTCACTTCGAGGCAACACGCCCTCATCCGCACAACCAAAGTCCCACTGAGGGCACCTCGGCATGATGCCACTGTCAGACTTTTGCCTTTTTATTTGTGTTATCCGGAATTTTTTTTTATTTTTTCTTAGGCAGGGGTTTCCTTAGTCATCAACCTTGTAAGAGGAGTGCGGTTGGTAGCATACCATAGTTACTATATCTGGGGGAATCGGCATTGGGGATAGGTCTTTACGCCATAGTTTATACTTTATACGGAGCTTGTACCTAGAAACAATAGCACTTGATATAAAAAAATAAAAAAAAAAAAGTACATGTAGTATCGACACCAGAAACCAGTGGAGAATTATCGGTTACTTCGGTTAAGCTATGTAGATTCATTAGATTCGCTTGTGGTTGGGCTATTCCACGGCTTGTGCGAGGATGGGCTGAATCTAAGTATTTGGTTCTTGGGTTTACTGTTATCTGAGTGACTATCTGATATTTGAACCCATATTGTTTCGAATATTTCGTGGTCTGGCATTAGGAAGTCAAAATGGAACAGTATAAAGGTTACTCGGGACACGTGTAGGACCCGCGGGATTGTTGAGTAGCGGCCGCGGGTTGAGGGCCTAGATTTTATGGCTAGATGTCGGTGGCTAGCCGCTTTTCGCAGGTTTTCTCCGAAACAAACATCATATTATATCCAGAGACCCTCCCCAACTTTCACCCTCAATCACTCCATTCCCAAGCGGTGCCGACCCAGTCCGCATCCAGTCCGAACCAATCCCAATCGTCCTGAAAGCCAGACTTCGGGTGCAGAACTTTTTTATTCTCGGGCAAAGTTGACTCTCTGCGGGACCAGGATTGATGCTGGTCGCACTATAGTAGCTATTACATGGCGATCACTACTTACTCGTGTGACTGAATCGCCTGGCCGGCCGAGACCTGCTCAGAATCTGGTGCTCTGCAGCCTTGGCAACTTTGGACCAAAAATTACTGTTTGTGGGAGTTGCTTTTGGAAATCTCAACTATATCATTACCCTATATGGAAAGCCAAGAACCAAGTTTGTACGATATGCAGAGCACCAGATTCTGAGCAGTTCTCGGCCGACCAGGCGATAGTGGGAAAATAATCTCAATTACTACTAATAGAGACTGAACCAAAAAAATGCAAGTATGTACCCGAGACAAAGATCATCTTATTTGTATTAGAAACTTTAGGCCAAGCATTAATTTTGGTCAAAATTGATGTTTGCAGGGATTATTTTGCTGGGTGGCGAATAGCATTTTTCAAAATTGATCGTTGGCCTAAAGTTTCTATTGCAGGGTGGTGCCCCTACATACAAGCCTTGTCTTGAGCACTTGCATCTTTTTTGTTCCTTTCTTCTGCACACACCAGTAGATGCGACGCAGAATGAAGACGAGTCACAAGTAGCAAAGAAAATTACATGAACTACAAAATAAGGATCAACAGAACATATACCCAACGCCAGAAGGAATACCCTCTCCCATAAGACAAAAGGAAAACAGGAAATTAATATAAGAAATACTCTTTCTCACTACGTACCGGCGCAGTAATCTTTTCCGTCAACCAATTCGGCTCCAAACAGATGTTTACATTACCGGTACCAACCTTTCCAGCCCGTTCCCCCTAGTTTACGATGACATCCGCGCGCGGTACCGAAGATACGCTCATCGCATCTTTGGCATGTACGCGGTTGTATCGGCAAATTCAGGAAACGGGTAGATTGATTGGCACTAGTATCATAGCCATCTGAGAGGAGCGAAGTGGAGGCAGGAGCAGACTACATTGTAGCGGATGGAGAGGGAAGAAGAAAGGGAATAGAGGGCGGGTAGAGGGGGTTTATATACAATTTAGACCACCTTGAAAGGTGCTCGTATGGGACCAGTTTAGTAATCGAAGCGGGGCTGTTGCCTAACAGTGGTTGCCTGAATTAATTCTGTTCGCCTTGTTTATTTACTTGGCGATTCTTGGCAATACTGGTGGGGTTTGTTCCCCGGGTCCTATCCGTGATTATCGCTTTGGGCTTCTCTAAACGAGATAGATTACGTTTACTGTGTAACCTGTTATGTTCAACATTTTGTTAGAACACACTGTTGATAGATGGTGAGAATAATCATAGAATCTCACTCGTTCTTGGCATTTACACATTTATGAAAGAAGGCACTGGCAGATATATTTACCTCAACAAGGATTAGGCTAACCCGGGTAGTAATATTGGCAACGAAAAATATTGCATTAATCACGTAGGCAAGGTCCCTATATATGTGTGTTCTCAATTCTGTGGTCTGGTGCTTCAGATTGGAGAGTTATTTCTTAGGCATAGCAGTGTCACATCAGTTGATCAAATATCAAACGGATTTAAACACTTCCGGCGGTACTATACTGGTTGGGCATACAGGAAAGTTCACAGTGGTTGATATGGGTAGTTTTATATAGAAGAGGTAATTGATTGGTAGTGCTGAAAAGGAAAGAAAATGATAGATTAATGAGTACTACGCTCAAGAAATTGACTAATGATGAAGGGCTTTCATGGTTGTCAGAAAATATTATAAAGTGATGCGGAGTATAGACAAAACCTTACCTATGTATATTTGATTTTAAAACCACCCCTCACTCGGATGGTTTCACTCCTCTATTTCCGGACGTGGCCAAAAAACCCCGAAGGCTCTCCCGAGTTAATGGCTTGGGGGTTGCGGCATCAGTTGATGACCACAACCCCTTGGAGCCTCTTGCCGCAATTGTCTCCTTCACTGGATCGACCAACTGCCTCGTTTCGACTTCGTCCGAATTTCTCGGATTGTAAGGATTGATGGGGGGAAGTCCAATGCTCGCAATGCTTGGGGAATCCTCCGGGAGGTTGGCTACTGGAGTGATTTCGACCCCTTCGGGATTTTCTCCGCCGTCGGGCACTTCTCCTCTGCTTCTACCGCCCAGCCCCATCGTGTACTTGACCCTCTCACTCAGGGTTGGAGTCACTCGGGCACCCCTCATGTAGACTGGCTGGGACTTTACCTTGGCCATAACAACCTTGCGTTTGAGCTTACCGAACGTTGGCTCGATGCCAACGTTCCAGATCCTGCTCAAGGTTGTCAGGGTTTCACTGCAGAATCCTGAGACTCTTCCGCTCAGTGGGGTTGATGATACAACATCAGTTGTATCTGGCTCGACAGGTTGGGGCGGGTGGAGATTGGAGCTACCCCCCATCGATGTTTTGCCTCCCAACGCAGTATCGCCAGTACTACGTTTAGCAGCGGGAATCTCCTGTTCCTCTCGTGCGTCATCATTTGGGGCGTTGTTCACAGGGGCTTCCCCTAGAAGCAGCCACAAGTTAGAGTCTTAAACACATTTCATCTATAGTTTCTTGAAATGTTGGCCATAACTAGATCGCTGAAGACCCGTAGGTACATGTAGTGACACATTAAAAAATAAGATGATTTTCTTACCATCCACGTGGTCAGCACTTGTAGAGTTGACATGAGGATTCCTCCTCATGTGACTGGTCTTTTTGACCAGCCTTTTGGTTCTCTTTGCTGGTGCAGTTTTTGTGGTGGTGGGTTCTGGGTCCGAAGATGACCTCGGTCCACCCTTGCCCCTAAGAGATGACCACACAGTCCCGCCCTATTTGATAAATAGACTTTGATTAGAGGAGTTGCTTCTACAGACTTAAGATAGATTCAAAATTGGAATTGAACTCACCGAGATTTTACCCCGAATCCCCGCCCATCCCACCCTCCAACCCCTAGAGTCCCTTTTTCCAGCACCTGCCATTGTTTTTGTTTTACTGAGGTTATCTTGTTCGATAAAAGGGTCTGGTGATGAGAGTCTTGAAGTCGAAGCAGGTGATGAAGGTGAATTGGGGGCTGAGGGGGTTCCCTCTCTGGACCTGGAACCAAAGCGTGCCGGAGTATTAGCGTCCTGTGTAGCGTCACTGACCCGTGGCTTGTTGGTATATCCCCTAGATCCCGCCCACATAAGTGGAAGGTGTCCCAGGCTATTTCCCGGACCAGTTAAGCTTCTCGGTACGGCAGTAGCTTGACAGGTACTGTCGTCATTCTCGAACGAAACACTGGGTTTGTTTGAAATTGGGTTCAAGAGCGCCTTTTCAGGAACCTTTGGGTTTTGAAATATTCCTAGTCCTTCGGGTTCTTGTGCCTGGTCATTATCAATCAAATCTCTAGGAACCGGATTCCCTTCTTCTTCTCCTGGCCCAGATTCAGATGAGTAAGGGGAGCTAACGTTGGCCAGAAGTGTACCAGAAACATTGCTAGGTATAGAACTACTCCCAGCGGTATTGTGAACGTGATTAAGCTCCTCGGCTTTTGGAGGAATTGCAAAAGATTTCGAAAAATCTATCAAATAATTATAATACGATGAAAAGCTGCTGGTACTAATAGGCCTAGGAGCGGAAACTGGTGGTTGATAGGTATCGTTCAATGCGTGTCTCATACCAATACGAGCTTCAGCCAACTGTTGTGAATTCGTCTTCGTAATATTAAACCCTCTAGCTGGGGTTCTAAATAAAGTCAGTTCTATCATATCGTTACGGAATTTGCTGATTGACTTGCAGTTGTAGTTCTCCTTGCCTTGTAGGTGGTAGATTCTCATACGTCTGCCTTGGAAATATTTCCGAAAAATTGGAATGCGACTCAGATAAATTGTTGCCAGCAGTATCGCGTGCGACCAGTTCCGGATACTCTGTTGGATGCATTGTTTCCTGTCTCACGCATTTCCAATCATTCGATTCACGCTGAGGCTCGGCATTGACGTCTTGGCTGGCATTATTACAGTTTGGAAAGCTGAAATCCTGGGCATTATTATCTGCTGAAAGGATTTGATGAGAATCTGTCGAACTTGGATTGACTAAAGACCTCCGTGAGTGACGAAATGGGCTGTTCTCATTTACGTGAGAGACTCCCGGTTCATTCATAGACTCGGGCTCAGGGCTAGTCTGCCTATTGATATCTTGATACCTATTTTCCTGAAGAGGGCTGCCATGTTGAAATATATTACTGTTAAGCTCATAATGGCTCTCATGACCTTCTGGTCTAAGTATAGAGCTCCACGAATCCTTTGAAATATATTCATTTGGGGCTGCAAGGCATCTCTCATTAGTGTCCAGATAAAAGGAAAACTCGCAATTAAAAAGAGCGACAGAATCATACAACTAGGGCTACTATAGACTACATGCCCTTCAGCATCGAGATCTCTGAACAAAGTTCGTGGTTGCTCTGAAGGATCAACTCTAGGTTGCGCCTGAGATCTATTTTGATTGTACTCTCTTAAATCCTCAAATGTTTTGAGTGTCTGACGAGGCCTCTTTGCCCTGGTTGGAGTTCTGGAAAACCGAGGTGAAGTCCCATTTGGCTCAAGAACTATAGTAGGGGAATGAGTGCTAGCCAAGCTCACATCCTTTTTCCCCAAGCTCAGCGGTATTACCGTCGTACTAGGTGGCAGCGGGAAGTTGTAACCATCAATATTAAGGCCATCCTCCTCCTCATTATCATCATTATCATCTAGTTCATGATCTTCGCTGTGCTTAGTGAGTCCAGAGTCTTCATTATTCAGTGACATTTTTGATATTTCAACAATTGATCTCCCGGCCCGGCGGTGCGGTTATGGGCCGCAAATCTGAAAGAATTAGGAACCGTCAGAGGCGAAAAAACCAAACTCAACGGGGAATTACCTAAACGTTCCCCCTTAGTCCCTGTTTATGCGAGGGAGGTATGTGACTTAGTATAGAGATAGATTCTATAAAGAAAGAAAGAAAGAAAAGAAAGGGATCTCTTGTATGCCGATGAATTTCCACGAGAACGAATGTACAGGCGGGTAATGAGAAGAGCTCGAGGCGAGGTGCAGAACCCTCGCGGTATACATTGTATTCAACTGTTTACATCGACATGTCGTACCCTTGTCTATAGCCAGAGCTAAGCTTTGCGGCTCGGGAGCTATCAGTCTACCCGCAGGTGGTTCTAGTACTCATACGGAAAGTTTAAATTCTAAAAATCGTCATCATGTCACCGTACCCTCGGTATCACAATTTGTATAAAGTCAGATTTTCATTTATGAAATTCAAAACGTTACATATAACTACATCATATATTAATAGAATGAAATATAGAGTAGACCAACATTCCAGAATTCTTAAAAGTGGTGTAAGGAGGTCTTTCAGAAGTGTACGTTAATATTGATTTTGTTCGAAATAATTCAAGCCACCGATCAAGCAGATACAACGTACAGGTGTAGATATTAAATAGGCTACAATCTATGCGTAATTATTCAAACCCTTTTTTAGAGATGTATCTCTTAAGACTGCTTATCCATCACTTTAAAGGTTTATTACCTAATCAAGGTTAGTCTCATGTTGTGTCACTACGCGCAATTATGCTATCGCCGCGTCTTCCAAGAGTCAGCGCGGCACCCTTGAGATCTCTCAAAGTACCCAAAGAGTTATATATCCACACGGTAGACCGCCAGCCTAACTCACTCCTCTAGCTGCTCCTACTCCGCAAACTTCGTAGTCAACGCTCTCTACGAGGTTATTTGCCACAATGCCTTTGGGTTTCGAACGTATATTCACCGGTTCCACTATCCTGGTGAAATCTAACTAATTACTGGGCATGGGCCTATGCATAGGACTGAATGTCCGAAAACAACCTCCAAACAAACTCATCACCTTCATTTCACCTCTTGATGGACCAGACAAAGCTATCGCTCAGGACTTTCTGGAGAGGGTCGCTGCAATAGTCTATCCAGTGGGTTTCCAGTCAACAGTATAATATATACCTAGAGCCTTCACTGATATCAATCACTGGATAGATAATGAGAGATAACGGCCTAACCGTCATGTCGTATGTTTCAATATGTCATATAAGTATATTCTTGGAATAAATAACCTGAAATACCGGCGATAGTCTCGATGAGTTCCCCACGAATAAAGAGTTTTGGGGAAGAAACTGTGCGTGAATCTACCTTTAAATTACAGCAGAAAACTGTGGCTTATATAGACAATACAGTCAATGCCGGCGAATGCATCCAGCTTGTCCTCAAGAACCCCAACACAGGCCTCTGGCTCCCCTTCCAGTTTGTCCAAGGAGTTATGATTCACGAGTTAGCACACATCAAGCAAATGGTACTCGCCACCGGGATGTTGAATAGACGAATAACAAGATACAAACCCACTAACCCTTGCCCAGAATCACTCTCGTGCATTCTGGTCAGTTAACAACAAGTTCTCTGCTCAACTCCGCACTCTCCGCTCCACTGGCTACACCGGAGAAGGCTTCTGGTCCGCGGGCCGTGTTCTAATCTCCTCGGAATGTACCCAGGACCGGCCTCTTGCTGAAGTAGACATGCCGAATTCTCTCTGTGGTGGAACCTACCGTACCCGTACACGCACCCGCAAGAACAGAACTGGTGCAGACCAGGCCACAAAAAAGCCAAAATTAACGTATGCCGAAGTCCAGCAACGCAAAAAGGAGCGGAAATTCGGCACAAGTGAAGGTAATAAGGTTGGCGCAGATGAAGACACAAGAGTCCAGCTCGAAAAGGGTGTGAAGGTAAAGAGCGCCCCAAAGGTTGCCAAGAGCGTTAGAGGGAGAGAGCTACGAGCTGCAGCGGCGTTGAAGAGATTTGAGACCCAGGCGAAAGAATCACCGAAGAATGAGGATGAGGATAGTACGGATTATAGTGATGGGGAAGACGAGAAAGCCATTGACGTTGGTGGGGGTAAATTTTTGGTACCTGTTAGCAAAGGGGAAGACGGCGAGGACGAGGAAAAAGCTATGAAGAACGAACTTATGGGATTGGCGGGAGCTTGTGGGACGGGCGGGGATAGCGGCGAAATAGGCACTGGTGAGAAGGATGGGAGGCAGCGAGTTATCGGGGATGCGCGGAAGCAGAAGTCAACCTCAAAAGAGGGGCCAGAGGCAATCACTATCTGCGATACGTCAGATGATGAACTTATCTACGTCGATTCGAAAAGTTCACCCAAAAAATCAACAACTAAAAAACAGATAAGAGGAGAAACTGCTGCTTCCCCCATCAGCATAGGACAAGGACTTCTTCAATCACGGTTTGAGATCTCAGGAGGTGCGAGGGGAATATCCTGCTCGTGCTGTTCAGTCACCAATGAGCCCAACGCAGTACTTTGTATGGTTTGTTCGAATGTTCTGGAGCCAGACAAGATGGAAAATAAGTGGAAGTGCCTAAGGGCCCCATGCAAAGATACCTCATATATAAATGCTGGAGATGCGGGAATCTGCGGTGTCTGTGGTCAGAGGAAGCAAACATAGGAGACTTGAAAATTTGTTGAAATTGGTTAGATTAGATGGGAGTTTTGGTTTGTATTTCGGAATATCAAATACCATAAAGAATATAAGGAATGCGGTTATATTGGCTCTGAGTGGCTTGTGGTATTATTTACGGCTAGGATTTGGAATGACTGGATAAAATCCTATAGAACAAACTACTAGAGCACCTCTCAACTCCAATAATCTACAACATAGGTTCGGCCCTATCAAAGGGGGGAGAGTGCAAGAAGAACCAGGTCCTTCAAGAATCTGGAGTTCTCAGGTATGTTACAGTACCGCGGACCACTTGAGATGAAGTAACGTGGAACCCCCGCTGAGTGATCACCTCCAAACTCCCGATTTCTATCTCATTAGTATATCTTTTCAGTAATAAATGGACTGGAAGATTGATGTCATTATTCTAATTTGGCTTGTTGAAGCTGATCACTGTCACTGGATGAGCCAAAAAGACTTTCAAGGTGCTAATGTTTGAGATGGGTCTAACTAAGTGATGAAATCTTGCTCCAGCTTCCTGTAAGTGGTGGTGGATAAATATCTTTATATTTTACCGTCCGAATTGTTTGGATAAGAGTATCGTTCGGAAGCGAATTTACGGCCTAAGATTTCTCTGAAACCAAAAAGTACCGAGTACCAATAGAATGAATCGGGTAACAAAGCAACTTTCAGTTGAGTGTCTCAGCACCTAGTGGTAGAGTTTCCTACTTGCTCCAAAGACCAAATCTCAGACACATGTAGACACCATGGTCAGATGCCTGAGACACGTAGGTACATGTCGACATGGACACCACTCTGACATCCTTTTCACACACCAATTAGACAATCTGAACCATCCCATCTTTTGTTAGACACTGACACCAGCCCTTGGCGTGAACCAACCCGAACAACGCAGCTATCATCTCTAGAGTGCCTTCTCTTAAGGACACTTAGTTCATTCTTCAATACATGATCGTCATCATTAAGATTGGCCTTCCAATTCCTCCCCTAAGGACAGTCCAAACAATTCTCCGAAACGGCTTAGTCGTACCTGGAGGGATGTGGAAAACTCGGAGATTACCTGTGCGCTAACTCGCTGGGTCAGCCAGCAGAGTTTAGAGCCGGCGAGAGGTATTTATGTTCGGGCTGCTTCTTGCTCGAGTATTCTACTTGGCTGGATTTGAGACCCTCCTGCTTGCTTGACCCTATTCCGAAAATCTCTGCTTCAGAATTCAAAAAAGGGGGCCCCAGACTGACGTCGAGGGTTGCAGTTGCAATTGCGGGTAGACTAGTACAGACTTCTGAGTAATCAATCCCCCATCCCGACGAGGCGGGTCTTGGCGGCAGATCCCGCGATTCAGGGCTCTCCGGGCTCTATTTTAAGCTCAATTGAGCACAGACGGCAACTCCTCCACCTACATCATACATCATACGGTTTAACGAGAGGAGAGGGGGGAGGGTTTTTCAAAAGACGACAAAGAAAAGGAAAGAAGAAGCAGGATAAGCTCGGATCGAACCAATTAGTCCGCTCACGCGAGTGCAAAAAAAATACGAGGTTTCTATGTACTCTATTTCTTCAATACAGGGAGGGTGTTTCTCGAAATAGAACCAAGAGTGAATAAAGAAAGTTGAAGATCGATTAATTGACGTGCATGCATACATCCAGGGCCGTTGGAGATGGAGTTGCTTTTGAAAGTGGCTTCATGGGCGTGAACAGGGGGATGGGCAATTGATCATGGGGCATATCTGATAGAGTTTGATAGCATAATTGCACGAACAACGTGAGAACCGACATATGGGTTTACAGGTTCATAAGCTTAAGTGGGATACTAATTATATTTCTGATAGTTACTCTACTTTATACTTTTGAGGTGAATGTTCGGTATTCTGACCAGTACCTTCCAGGAATACCTGTCACCCAACAATCCTGATAGAAAAGCCTAATGCCTAGCCTACAATCGTAGCCAAATCAGACTCTTGATAACGCACAAGAAAAATCACTTTGAACTCTGGGGCCTGGATACTCGGGTCTAAGTTATCAGGTTGAGTAATACCATAACTGTCAGAACCTTGAACAGACAGATGAACATCCAATTCACAGCCTTATATTATGGGGAACATCCATACAATCTCCTGTCGGTATGTAAGTATTACTGCGCCGTTACCCTGAACAAAATTATCAAATCCGTTGGTTAGATACCAACAGCCAATCAGAGTACGCGCCTTCACCAAGCTGGCTATTGGTTCAGGGCTTCACACGAAACTTGTCACCCCAAAGTGCGTGACATTCCGTGACACCTTCCTCTGCTCTATGCACAACTTCTTCAGTAAGTCCTTGGCAAAATCTCCTTCCCGGGACCCAAAATCCACGGAATAACCCGTCCACTTACATGAGCTCGGAGCCAACGACCAGTGAGCGCTCCTTTGTGCACCAATTGATCCTCGCAAAGATATCATTGCAGCAAAGTGTAATTGTTTGCTCGTTTCCACAAGGAAGGGGAAGCAAGATGTGCGTCTAATGCGCATAGGTTGGATTGAGCGAGGACCCAAGGTCGAGAATGTAGGGAGAATCTCCTACCCTACCGATAACTCACCTCCAAGACAGTGAGGGGAAATCGATGCCGTGCTGGCAGTGATAGGACATGTCTCAGTGCCAGGAATTTGAGATGTGTGATGTGGCTCGATGGTAACTTGACTATCGGCCTGGGTTGGGGTTGGGCACTACGCGTACATGGGCGTTGGTGGTGGCAAATATTGCAAGCAGGAAAAAAGACTGTCGAGATCTTTTTGGTTCTCATTCCTTCCTTAATCTACTAACGAATCAAAAGACAGGGGGGAGACAAGGCAAGATTTCCGAGAGTACATGTAGGTAATCAATAAAAAAAAAAAAGTCCTACAACTCGGCAGCAAGTCTTCCGAGTAGCAGAAAAGAAAATTCATGAAGCATCACCAAAGGTACCTACAAAGGAAAGGCAAGAGCAGAAGGGGAAAAAAAGTCTCCCTGGGCCAAAGCGCACTCAAAGAAAAAAGGAACGCTCCAGAATGAACAGCCAAAAATAAAATAACAATAAACAACCCGCTAAACCGAGGAAAGAGGAAAAGGAACAACAAATCCATTCCAAATGCCAGATCCCTACCCTAGCCTTGCTCCAATCCATGTAAAAAAATCCCGACCCACCCGCTGTTCCAACCTAACCAAACCCAGAAATGAACGCCGAAAAGTGAAAGTGTCCTCCCAAAATTTATACAGGTCGAAGTGAATGAAGTTCAACAGGAAATAAAAAGAATAAAAATAAAGGTGTAAGCATCGTATAGCTTATGTAGAGTCGCCAGTTCGCGGGCGGACGGAGGAGGAGGTAGTGGTGGTAGCGGTAGTGATAATGAAGTGTGGTAGGCGGTATGTAGCGAATGTCGGCCGGTATACGATCCATAAACGAGCGAAATAAAACAAAAAAAGCCTCTCCGAGTTTCTCAAGTCTGGCACTTCTCCATGGCCAAATGATCCGCAAACGGATCATAGTTCATCTGGTTCTGTAGCTGCTTCTCATAATAGATCCTAATACAACGCACACAAGTCAATCCCCTACTCTCCCACAAAAAAACCAAGAACCACACATACCTTCCACAGAGCAAGAAATCATCGATATTCGCAACCCTCCGCGCCTCCTCCCGCTCCCGGACCTCCATCTTGGCCGCCTTCTTCTCCTTCCGTGCCTTGACGGGCGACACAATCGCCTTGACGGCGGCCTTGACGCGGACGGACTTTGACGGCTTGAGGCCGCCGGCCTTGCGCTGCTGCTGCATCGTGGTGGGGTGGTTGTTGGTGCCGAGGGGGAGCAGTGAGGCCGAGGAGGGCTCGCGCGAGTAGCTGGTGGGGAGCTGCTTGTAGGTTGTGGTCGTCATTGTGGTTTGAGTGTTTGGGGGTTGAGTATTGAGGGGGTTTTTGAGTTTGAGTATTGAGGAGTACTGAGGAGGGAGGTATGAGTACTGACGTAGACCGATCCGATACTTGTAATGTTGTAGAGCGACCAAGTTACTGTAGGTATTTCCTCAGAATTCTCTGGCGCAGTGTAGCGTGGTAATAGAAATAAAATTCAATAAGAGTGGGGGCGTGCGATCGAGGTGCGGGAATCCCATTGCCTTTAAAGTCTGCTTTGCTTCCCCCCATGGCCATACTTACTACCCAACTAGCTAGCCCTGATCACAGCAGGGAACGTACCCATAACCCACCCACCCATCCACCCACCTACGTAGACAGACAGCGCTGGGGCCAGTCCGGCGGTAGGTAGATGTCGGTCGGTTGCAACGGCTTGAACCAATCCGTGCCCCTACCAACCACAGGGCTGTGTGCGTGGGTGGTGTTAGTTAATCCGGATCGGATAGCTAGCTAGGGCCCCGGGGATGGGTTCTGCGCGCGGGCATGCGTTGAGATGGGACTGGAGGCGTGGTGGTGTGGGATTGGCGTTTTGCACTTGGTTATCGTGAGTGCTATCCCGCGGTCGCTTTTCGGCTGCAGATATGTAGAATGGAGGCAGAGTAGAATGTAGGTAGGAGGATGCGATACTCTACGTCGGGAGAGACTACAGATCTACTCTAGCTGCTATTGGCGCATGACAATGTCCGGCGCCGGCGCGGGCCCGGTTACGTTACGTTAACTGCAAGTTATCTGGGGTTTTGGGTTTTGTGTAGAGTATCATCGTGCATCTGATGGGGCTTATGATATGATATGCAGAAAATGGGGTAGTTGAGTGCGCGTGTTAATACTCGACTCTGCCCTGGGCAGACAGGAGGTGGTGAAGTAAAGCAGGCGCAGCACCCAGTGAGTGCACTTCTGCGCGCGGCAAAGATTGGATTCGGATTTGTAGTTTTCGGTAACCCTCCCGGCCCGATGTCTTTTTTTTGCACTCGCGTGAGGATTTTTAGTTTTGTGTCGTGCGATCGCGACGGTGGACGGTGAGGGGGTGCTTTAATTGAAACACTGTTTTACGGTGTTTTACGGTGTTGGAGTGCTTTTCTAAAGACTCTGTCTGCAAGCAAGCATTCTATCTACACGGAGATACCTAGCAAGAAGCTGTCATCACTCCAATCCACGATACCTACGTAATACCCATCCCTCCTCTCCCCCGTCTTAGACAGCTGTCGCATCCGTCTGTCTGTTCGTTGTCATCCTCCCCCGTCCTAGTTACATTCCTCAAGTGACAGCCAGTGCCACCTCTAATAATTGTTCCCCATCCGGTTAGTCCCCGCTGTGTGTACTGCTTGGCATCTAGCTGTATTGTACAACAAACACCGGAAACAACTACTCTACTCACCGGGACCCCACAGAAGACAGAACAAAGACGACGGATGTCTCAAGTATATAAGTACATGTAGGCCGGGTAGTTGGATGGGATGGATACGCGTGGGAAAAATAAAATAGAGTAGAGTAGGGAGAGCACACGCGCGTAGGCAGCAGCAGTAGGCTTATTGCATTGCGGATCATATGGAAAATGGGTTTTAGACGTTTAGTAGATACACAGGGCCCTGGCTAGATCAAGTGATGATGATGAGTCGAAGCACCTGGTGGGATACTGTAGTGGATGTTTGTTAAGGCCCCCCATATTATATATCTGTGGAAAGCCGGCCGCGCGAGGAAAATAATTTTTGAAATTTCTCTATGATGCGGATTACGGGTGGATGATGTCGATCAACATACCTTTCTCATATGCACCATCGAGCTATCGATAGCATCCTGATGGATGATCGGGTGGTCTGTTTGTTCTTTCAGGAGCCTCCTTGCTCTCTCTAGCTAGCCCATAATATACAAAGAGCTATGGCGCCATAGTACTGGGTGGGATCCAGATCAAGTATTGATATTGGAAGCAGTTCTTTAAAAACCAAACGATGTAGCGAATAAAAACCCGAAACTTCACTCCCCGTCGACGTCGTCATCACCACCGCTCACCCGTCACCATCCCACGAGCCTGCGTCGTTTGTGCATCCATAAGTACTACTACATTTCGGCCGAGGCCCCTGTTTTTTTCTCACCAGATAAGCTTTCCGAAGATGGACACGGGGACATACTCGAGCCTAAGCGCACCTGCCCGTTATTCCCCCCTCTAGCTCTCCCCTCTCCCCTAGTCTCCCCCTCTCTTCGAATTCCTCGACTTTGTGCCCCTCTCGCTTCCCGGTTACTAACAACTCATCCTCCTCCAGTCCGTGTTTCTTGTTTTTCTTTGTTCAGGCCGAGTACCCTACCCTTGTTGTGCCGTATCATGCTAGCATGTAGCCAGTTAACTTGTCTAAATTACTCGGTCATCGTGCAGTACGAGTGAGCACCTTGGTATCTTGAAAAACCCTTTTCTCCAGCGGTGCTAATGGCGGTGTTTGGGGTTTGGGATTGTCTATATAGATGGTACTTGTAGTTTTTCCAGTATGCGATTTTCTAGCTACAACCATAGCTAGATAGTCGCTATAGAATCTATCTATTTACCGGTCAGTTGCTATATCAGCACCAGTACTCGTCCATTATTCAGCAATTCAGCAACCTACAATCTCGAGTCATCAATGGAGGATCCCCAGGCCCAACCTCCGCCCGCACCGCCGCTCCCTAATACCGCCACTCCCCCCACTTCTCCTCTCACCTCACCCCCAACCACACCCACCCACAACGAAGACATCGAGCCCCAGTTCTCCTCACCGCCCCATGAAGAACTCGTCCACCAGACTGCCCAAATTCTCTGCACTCTCTCCGCCGCTCCCCGCGTGCACCCTAATCTCAGCCCCAACTCGAGCGCTCTCGAAGAGGACGCAATGACATTCCTCAGCTCCGCGCTCCAATACACCATCCACCCCGTCACTCCCTTGCCCTCGCCCTCGCAAGCTATCTACCTACCTGCGGGAGGTAAGCTGATGCAGTACGAGGCCGCAGACCCGAAAAAGATGTATCCGGACATCAGTGTGAGCGAGGAGGAGTGGACGGCGCTGGTGAGCACAGAGTATGTGCCGAGTCCTATCGTGGAGGAGTTTTTGCGCGGGGTGATGCCGATCGATGGGACGGTCGAGGATCAGCAGGGGTGGTATGAGTTTCTGTGTGCCGACGGAGGAAGTGGCGGGGAGGAGTGGTCGAGGTTTTTGAGCGGGGATGTTGAGGTGGACGGTAGTGGGGAGGTGTGGTAGGGGTGGCAGAGGGGTGAGTATTGTAGAGGTAAGTGGTTTACGGTGGGTTATTTGGAAAGGCCTTGGTGTTCTTTTTTTTTGTAGGACTTGTCCGTGGGTTCTAGAGATATATTACGATTATTATTGTTTTGTTAGCGAGAATAAATCATATCCTTGGGAATAGTTACGTGTAGCTTGAATTCAATCACGTTGTGATGTCTTGTCAAACCAATGTCGAATGCAGTAAAGCATCCAGCCCAAGATCGTAGGACAACTTTAGCGAATTTAGACTCTGCTTCGAAGGATCGAACCACTCCTTCCTTTCCACGCATTCAAGAAGTCCGAGTGACCATCCATGATGCAGAAATCAACCGATTCCACACACCCAGCCCCGCGATGATTAGGTATAGTCGGCAACGTTTCAGATTTGTAGTAGAACTTTATATATTGCACTAACGGCCATTCCCCAGACTGTCTACCAACGGCCGTGACAGTATCTCATCGATCGACCAAGGGGCGTGCGGGCTTTGGAGAAGGGTGCGGTCCGTTGCTAGCCATATTTAGAGTGCCCGGGACTACTAGCTAGCTTAGCCGCCCGAATATTCTGAGTGAAGATAGGACTCTCCGGGTGTGCTGGTTGTTTGCTTGTGTGGCTGTGGAAAAAGACAGCCACTCTTAAGCGCGCGGGTGGCGGCTTGGGCTAAACCACCAACGTCGCCCGACCGCATATCCTTCCGTCGTGTATATAGCGCCTACACATGGGCAACTTCAACCGCCTCATGAGCCGGAGCCAATCCTTCTTAGACGCTATGACCCTGAGGCTCTGCCATGTAATTCAAGCGCGCCCCGGATTGAACTGTCAAAAATCCCCGGGTCTGAGATATATTATATACTCTAGCCGCAGACCGTAGTGTTGGCGAAGGTTTTCCGGCCGTGCAGCGGACTTGGCTGGATCTTTTGGTAGCTGCTTCAATTGATGGTTCAAAGGTAAGGTGTAAGTTTATACTTTTCCGAGTCTTCTTCATGGGATATCACTCGGCGGTACAAACCGTAGAAGCCACTCAATTTATAGATTTTTTTATTTTTTTGGTTTAACTCATTAATCGTATACAACCTTACAGTTATGACGACTCAATCTATAGACTTATTCCTAGCAACCTCGTGGTAGTTCATGGCTACTCGGGGAACTCGTGGATTGTAGAATAATACCATCAATCGAATGGCCGCGGATCGCGGTAGTGTAGATTTTCAGAAAGAATAAAGGTCTATTCTCGAATACTAAAAGAGGAGAAACGAACAAGGGATATATTATGCGACTTGCACCATGACTCGTGTCATCATACTCTCCCGTGTGCGTGTCCTCTAGTGACTGTGTCCTTTGGTGATCGTGTCCTTGCGGTAACATTCTCTAATCACACTTAGTGCAATGTGTTCTCCATCCGCCGAATCCCCAGTGGTGGGAAGTGAGTTTTGTGTCTCTTGGCAGTACCACGGGGTGTTCGCGCCGGTATGGGTTGTTGTCCAGCTCCGCTCATGCAGCTTAGGGGTGAGCACGAGGTCAATGGTGTCGAGAGTAAGTCACAAGAACTTTTGGCAAAACAAGATGAGACCTGAGAGTGGACAAGGCAAGACGAGATAGATCTAGGTCCCTGATTATACTCAAAAATTAAACAAATTAAATTGTCGGGGCTCTGGTTCAATTCACTCTTCAGTTTCATATTATTTAAGAACTGCAGCTGAAGGGAGATAAAAAAGGTTGAAGTAAGGCTCTACCCGGGATTTGAACCCGAATACTCGCTGTCGTACTAAGTTTCTGTTCGAGTACACATTCCACTATGCCAATAGAGCTTAAAGGATTAAAGGCTGGGGGGGATGGTAAAGGATGGATTTATATTAATCAGTGTCACTTAAGCCCTAAACTCACACGAGGAAATATAATATACAACACAGCTCCTACCCCCACCCCTTGGGGTTGAGCCCATGACCTACTGATGGTCATGGGGACTCAACCCACTCAGTGTCCTTCGTTGACGAGTCGTCTACCACTAGACCACGCTCGCCCACACAACTATCAAAGGCCGGGAAGTAATACTTAGGGAAGTGAGGGCAAAGTGAGCTAGCTAGGGGGACATCTAACCCTGCAATCACAATCTGCCACGAACCCACTGGCCACCCTCTTTTGTAGTATAATACATGAATTCAATGTTGGAAATTCGAAACAGAGACCGCTAGTACAGAACATCGACGAGGACGACCAGACCCGGAATCAGAAATCACTCCAGCTACCGAAAACCCGGGCAGGCCTGAGATAAATCGGCTCACATTCCCGGGTTGCAGCTTCCGATCTTTCTTATTCAATCTAGCTCCGTTTCCTCGTCTCCGAATAGCATATGTCTCTGCTTCCCATATTTCTTGTTGCCTACGCTGTAGCCCGCTCTGTTCAATTCTCACATCACACTGAAGAGTGAAGTTATGAACACAAGCGAAGGTAACTATGAATAAGAGTTTAGATGGTTTATCAGAAGTCTAGGAGGGATCGGGCTGTTTAAATAGCTCTGGCCAGGTCGGGACACGGTGGTCTAATTCCTTGGGATGACCGTGTGGCACAATATGTGTCCAATAGACAGGAGTCAAGACACGTACACGTTGTGACACCGTGGTCTAATTCTACGTTATGACTACGTGGCTTAACACGCGTCCGATAGACAGGAATCAGGACATGTTGTTTCTAGTCCTTGGCTTGTTTGGTGTGAGGCAGAATCAGGTCGGAGCTACTATGTACTTATTAATTACTGCCCGGATAGCGACCTCTGGGTTACGGGTATCACAGCTAGCTTTATATCAGTAGTACAAGCGATATTATATACGAGGTACTTTGAGAGGAACATGTTGCATAAAGTATAAATTTACTTCTACCTCAGACTACCTCGAGGTTTTGACAACACTTATGAAAATGGATATGTGGTTCCTAGCTCGTACAACAGGTACCGAGCAAAACAACTGAAACGGGGCCGGGAAGATCAGCTTCTGCTTTTGATGCGCTTTAATATATCTTCTGGGCGGAATAATTGATGCTCAGGAGATGACTACTGCTATATAAATTCAACCTTTATAAACAATCCTACTTAGAATATTTACACCTACTCCTCCCCCTTCTCCTCCGCCGCACGCTTTATAACCCCCTCCAGCACCTCCTCCACAAGCCCCCACCCCTCCGCACAAACCCTCCAGTTTCCCACCGCACACCTCACCGCCTCCCTCCCCTCCCACATAGTACCACTAACATACATCCTCCCATCACTGTTAATCCTCTCCTTCAACCGCTTATTAACCCTCTCCTCCCTCGCCCTAAACAGCACCACGACAAACACCCTCCCCACCGCCTCCTCCTCGCCCCCGGCACCCGCAGGCAGCAGCTCATACGCCGCATGCCGGTATATGAAGCGTGCGATTCCGCGGGCGTGGGTGACGAGATGCGTGACGAGCTTTTCGTAGCCAGTGCTGCCATAGGCGTGGAGCGTGGCGTAGACTGGGAGGGCGCGGAAGCGGCGGGAGTTCTCGAGGCCTATGTTCAGCGGGGAGGGGATTGCTGCGGGAGTGGCCGTGGGCGGGCTGGAGAGGTAGGGGGCGGAGTTGAGGAATGTGCTGGTGAGGAGGGCGGGGTCGCGGGTGAAGAAGAAGCCGCAGTCGTAGGGCTGGGTGTGTTAGTAGTGTAGAGTAGGGGGTTTGGGAGATGGGTAAGGGGAGGGGATGCTTACGACGTTGAGGAGCTTGTGCCCGTCGCCGGTGATACTGTCGGCGAGTTCTAGCCCGTCGGCCCATTTCCCGACGTCGCCCATGGCGCCCTCGGCGCCAGCAAGGACCCGCGCAAAGATGCCGAAGGCCGCATCGATATGGAGCCATGCCCCGTACTTTGTTGTCAGCGCCCTAATCTCCCGGATGCTCGTTGTGAACATCCCAGTATTCACCTCTCCGAACCCGACCACCACAATACTCACAACGCCCCTCTGGCTCCCCGCCTCCAGCCGGCGCTCCAGCTCCTCTAGATCAAACTCCCACGGGGCGGCGGGGAGGGATAGGTCATGTATATTCCTCCTTCCAATCCCGACCGTCGACGCCGCCTTCGCAATCGACGAGTGCGCCGCCGCAGAGAGGATCTGGATTCCCGTGATGCCCGCCTCTACACATGCCCCCAGCACACCCATCTCGCCGACCGAGGCCTCCGCCGGGATGTACCCCGCGAGTATTAGCTTCTCCCGCAGGAGGTGCTCACGCGCGCACGCAAGGCCGAGGATGTTACTCGCCGTTGCGCCCGTCGTGAGCGTGCGGCCGCGCCACTCCGCCGTGTCGAGGTGGAACAGCTGCAGCAGCATAGAGAGCGCGGCGTTCTCGAGGTCAGTGGAGACGCTCTCGTGGGGCAGGTGGACCTGCACGTTCTGGTCTGTGACCGTCACGATGATGTCGGCGGCGAGGGCGGCGGGGGTGGTGCCGCCGGTGACGAAGCCATAGTAGTGCGGGGAGGTGGACTGCGCGGTGAGGCCCGGGAGGATTTCGGTGAGGAGGTGGGAGAGCGTTTCTTTGGCGCCGAGGCCGCTGTGGGGGAGGGTGGTGATGGAGGATTTGGCGGCTGAGAGGGCGTGGGCGGCGGGGGTGGGGGTGGTGCGGGGGGCAGTGGGCGGGTGGATGAGGGTTGAGGTGATGGCCATTTCCAGGAGGTTCAGGATTTGGGGGAGGTCCGAGGCGGGGACGGACATGGGGTTTGCGGGGTTAGTCATTATGGGATATGGGTGCTAGAATTGACTCGTATTAATGCAGGCACGTACTATCTTAGGAATTGGAGCCAGGAGGTATCTAGATGGATTATACTCACCTCAATTGACAATAATAATTGCTGTATCCTCTGCGTGTGATGTAAGAGTAGATATCTCCGACCTGAGATCTATATATCCCCAGCTACCACTCCTATGACTCCTCCATGCAGTCAGTCACATGTATGCGGGGTGCTTCTCTGACGTCGGAATAGAGACCCTGTCAGTGGCTGTCCTCGTTACCTGTCACCCTCCCATAGTTATGTTCCCTGCATGATGCTGCAGCTCTCGTGGACTAACCGGAAAAATAATGTTCCGTCACAGCCGGAAGTCAGCGTCGTACAATTATTATCATTGGACGAATTCAACTGCACGAGGTGTTTATTTCTGGTAACGGCTGTGTCCTATTATGTTGAGCACTGCAGATGGTACGTAGGATGGTAACCTTCGTGTGGTAGAGCGATAAAGTCTGTAATTTTGTCAGCAGCAGCTTGCCGGAGCCAAACCCTAGATCAAACTTACTGTCCTCTTTAATTGCAGTATTTTATCGTCTCCTGTTTCAATTGTTTTACCCGACACCTTATCTTGCACGAACTAAGAACCTATATCCATTTTCATAAGTGTTGTCAAGCTTCGAGGTAGCCCGGGTATACGTATATATACCTTATGAGGTAAAGTAATTTTATGCAACGTCCTCGTCTCCGAGTTCCTCGTGGAGCACATTGTTTGTATTGATACAAATTTAGCCCCAGAGAGCACGGAGCACCGCTATGAGATCCGTAACCTAGAGGCCAGGTCTTTTTTGTTTGTTTGTTTAATTCATTAATTGCATGCAGCCTTACGGCTATGGAAATTAGAGGCCGGGTCGCTATCCGGGCAGTAATTAACAAGTAACGTAGCTCCGGTCTGATTCTGTCACTCACCAAACAAGCCAGAAGATCCAAGCGACTCAAGGAAGGACTAGAAACAACATGTCCTGACTCCTGTCTACCAGACACGTGTTAAGCCACACTGTCATAACGTAGAGCCAGACCACGGTGTCGCAACCTCGCTAGACTATTTAACCAGACAGACTCCTCCTAGACTTCTGATAAAACCATGGCCATCCTCGCCTGTGTTCATCTGCAGACTAGAGTGTGTGACTCATATCCAAGGGGACACAACGCCCCACAGCGTGTCGCGAGGAAAGCGACGTAGGAAACAGGAATCATAGGAATCAGAGGTATATGCTATTTGGAGGCGAGGAAGGGAGAGAGAGAAAGGAAAGATCAAAAGTAACCCGGGTCCCCTTTATTCACTGCCCGACGCCTCCTACTCTCACTGCCCTGCCCTGGTTTGCTGGAGTGATTTCCGATCATAATTTCCATTTTTCCTTGTCGTTATTCTGTAATTATAGCTATCTCTTTTCCAACATTCATATACTACATGTACTCAATTTCTATATTGCGAGTGATATTATGTGTATAAAAAAGGATATCAAGAGCACCACCCCAAAGTTTATACACACTAGTTCGATATTCAAAAGAGTCTACATGCAATTCAAATATTCGAATTCTAGTAACAAGGCCTCTTGAAAGGTTACCGATGATTGAACAAACGAACACCCCACCGTGTCCCCATAGAAAAAGGACACAGAGCGCTATCTTTTGTTCAAAGCTACAAGGCATTATATAGCATTTTCAAAGGGAATACGTATACCACTAGCTACAAATATTCCAACTTCCACATAACACATCCATCTCATGGTCTCAACACCCGGCCATCCAGCCAGACAACCACCCCGTACGCGCCAAGCACACATATACCACCTCTCCATGCCTCCCCCCGCGCCCCTTCCCCCTCTCAAGGTCCACCAAACCGTCGAACTACTCCTCACAGAGCCCGAAAGCCGTACCTACAAGCGCCGGCACATCATCTGCCTAATCGACAAAATCAACTCCTCCCACACCCGTTTCCAACTCCTCAGCGAGTGGGGCGTCATCGATGAGTGGTTCCCCCGCGACAGGGTGGTAGCTGCTCCGGAGAAGTTCTTCAATCCGGCGAAGCGCGCAGCGTACATCTTGCTGGATCTGGAGAAGGCGCTGATGCAGGACGGGGGTTATGGGTTTCGGAAGGTATGTGCTCTTTTTTAATGTTTTTTTGGGGGGGTGGTGGTTGATGTGGATCGTGTAGGCATCACTCGTGTGTCTGCTCGACGAAATGCCGGTCGAGGTTTTGTCCGTGCTTCAGGGCGGGACTGACTTGTGATGATACATGCCATATCTACCATCCTGGCGGCAAGAGCGAGACGTGTGCCAACTATGAGAAAGTCGGTTCTGATGTAGGTGGACACGGCGCTTCATTTACGTGGTTTGATATTAGGGAGCTTTGCTAATGTTGCAATGGGGGAGATCTAGGGACATTAAGACTATTGGAGCGGTTTACGAACTCCTGGCTAGCTCCTGATATGGGGGAATTACTTAATTAGCTAGTATTTTGCATGTTTCATATATACATGTAGCTACACATTAAAGTTGCAACGGCAACGCCTTGAGCTGTAGACAGTACTATAGTTTGCTATAACGATGCTCTGCGAGGCTTGAGGGGAATGGGATTGCTTTTCTTTTCGCTCATGCGGCTTATTTCAAGTATAAGCAGGTGTGCGGAGAGTGGTGCGGGGGTGCGGGGGTGCGGGCGGTAGTACGTCGGCGTCCGGCTGTGCACGTGCGCTTAGACAGATACCCGCATGGCCCGCATTCTGGCATGCAGAGCGTTGGCTGGCCGGTAGTCAAGTCGTTCCAGGGCGGGACACCCGCAAAGCCCGGCCAAATAACAGGGTGTTGTTTAGTGGACCGCGCCCTCCGCACCAAGTGGGCTACCGACAGACGTGGTGACCTAGCTTGGTAGATAGAAGAAGTGATAACTCGAGCGTAACTAGACAAGGTCCAACCCGGTCGGTTTGGGGGAGGTATATTTCTATTGTATACGGCCAGTTACAGACGGGGAGTGGGAACGAATATAGTGCCGGATTTTCTGGCTAAAGATATCATTTCCACTGAACCACACCGCCAAAGTAATTTAAGTTAACACCAGATCACCCAGTAACCTACGCTAAACAACTCAGCTACGCGAAACAGAGTACATCTACTCGCGCCATCTAGTCCGTTACCTCACCTCCAATAACTGGATTATCCATCCGTCACCTCACCTCCCGAACCGTTAGTCACAGACTATCACTCGGTAAACTATCGGTGTCGACCAACATGCTGCATCCAAATAGGTAATGAAACTGACCTCAATGGGGCCCAGGTACATTATTCTAGTCTATACTACCTGAGTATGCTTAAGGCTGCACTACAACTACCACTAATGAAGCTGGATTACAACGGTGAGCTTCATTGCTGGATATGATCTCTTCACGCCCGGCTGGCCGGGCATATACCTGGCACAGGACGTACGTACCTAAGAAGTATGTGATGAAAGTTGGAACGACGTCATATATGCAGTACGTTGTATTTCAGTCAGGCTATATATAGGAGAAGATATGAAAGCGGATTGAGACAGAAAGAAGGTGGTCGGTGTTGGTGGGCTGGCCACGTGCTCAGGTGAGCCCCCTTTCCACTAAGCCTCCCTCTAGTCGCTCCCGACTGAGCTTATGGCCAACACTTCAAGTATAGTTTACGTATGTATACACATTGATCTTACTAGCAACGTCGTATAGACTATTAGCCATCGAGTGTAAAGAATATCAGTACCAACCAACCTTCACCTCACTGCTAGCCCTTCTGGTCTTCGCGTGACCCATGCATATTCCAAGCGACGTTGCTAGAACTTCCTCCAACGCTGAACATTTCGATATGTACATTACGAACCAAACAACTCAAATTCAAGCGCTACTATTCTCACCTACGCTTGAACAGGCTCTATGCATCCCCCAAGCACGCTTCCCTCTAATACACATACTCGGTGTCGTCAGGAATTAACAAGTAGCCAGAGCGAGTGATAACTTATCAAGAGAATGTAGTCAAACGAGCATCGTAGATGAGATGTACTTCTAAGCTATAGGAGTAGAGTAATAGGGACTGCTACATGTAGGTATAATATGTGATAGTATACATATCACTAGAGCCTAGAGTACTCGGTGCATACATATGTACTCTATGTGACGCGGCGGGCCGTGCTCTACATAAGCTAGGGGTAGCAGCACTGTCAAACCGGGTGTCAGTTGATATTGTGTACCTGCATCTGAGCACACATCGATCGACACCGCGCGCACCTCACCTGCATCTCTCAAACGCAGGGCCTAGGCCCGTCACCACATTCGAAAAAAGGCATACCGTGCCATGCGGGGGGGGGGAGGTAGGAAACATGATATATTTCCAATGAATTTTTTGAAACTCTAGTATTACACTACGCATATGTATAAGATTAACAATCACAAAGAAGGAAAGAAAAAAAAAGTTGCAGGTTTTTTTTCTTCAAAAAGATATAAAAAAAAATAAAAAAAAGAGAAAACGCCGCGCCGCAACCGCAAAGTGTCCCCCCCTTTCCCCCCTTCCCCGCTGGAAAAATCGTTTCCATACATAAACCCATGATAAAACAAGAAACAGGACCACGCCCAATGACGAATAATTGTAAAAAAGCCGCACCAGGGAAAAGAAAAAAACAACCACAGACAGATAGACGGCGAGGGACCAGGCAAGCTGGTTTGGCCGGTCTGATGGTCTGCACATTTTTTTCTTTTTTCTTTTCCATAGCTTCTCCTCCAAAGAATCAGAATATCTCCCTCCCTCTCTCTTTCTTCCTTTTTTTACCTCCTATATATATATATAAATAAACGCCAAAGTCGTCACTCACTGGTTTTTTGGTAGTGTGGGGGTTGTTGGGATTAAACGCGGTTGTACATTCCGTTTCCATACATCTTGCTATGTCTCTGTGACATGGTATTCTCGATGGGCGAGGTTGACTTTCTCTTCTTTGACCTGCAGCACATGCAGAGACCCAGGATGATGAACCCGCAGAGGACGATACCACCCGCACCGATACCAGCAATAAACAAGATGTTGGGGGGAGAGCTCTGCGACTCCGCAACCTCAGCATCAGCCGATGTGCTAGTAGCCTTTGCAGCAGCAGTGGTCTTTGTCGCGAAAGTGGTCGCCGCGGCTGAAGCTCCTGTCTCAACTGGTTGCTCCTGGATGATGGTTGGTGTAGCAGTTGCCTCCGCGGTGGTACTCTGTGCGATTGCGGTGGTCTTCTGCGCGGCAGATGTGCTCTCGGCAGCAGATGTGGAGGTGGCCTTTTTTGAGGTTGACACGACCGCTGAAGAGGCTGAAGAGGCTGAAGAGCCGGAGGACCCGGAGACACCGCCGTAGGTGGAACCGGGGACGGAAATGTCGAATGGGGGACTATACTCGTAGGTGCCAGTTGCGTCGTCGAGAATTTTAAAACCGTATTTGTCGCCTTCGGGCATGGTACTGCTGTCTTGGAGACTTTGGGGGATGTTCCATGTGTATGATCCGGAGTTTTCGATGTAGGCTATGGATAGTTGGTATAAGGTTAGAAATACGTTCCCATTCATGGACTGATGTGGTAATAGTAGGGAGTGAATAGATAACATACTTGCAACTATGTCGATATCGAGGATATTTGTTGTTGGTCCCTTCAAGAGCTTGATAGTGACGGTTCCCGTTGTGGTAGGCTAATAATAATGGACCACAGTCAGATCCATAACCCCAAGCAAAAATTGTAGCAGTGACGTCCGCCAGAAAGGTATTGAAGAAAGGACTATTATCATACAGTCCACTTCAATGTCAGGGGTTCTGAGGCGTCTATCGTGCCACCGAGCGGGTGCGTGAACGCATTCTGGCCTGTCTTTTGCTGAGCACAAACGACGGCCGCAAACGAAAGGGCAATTGAAAAAAGTGTTGAAAACTGCATATTTGTTTCTAGATAATTAATTTGTTTGTTGTTATTTTTTATATGTCTGTATGTATAGTATACTGATCTGCGTGTTTAAAAAGAATGGACGCACAAAGGCGAGTAAAAAACAATAGCTGGGGAGAAAAAAAAAAGAGGGCGGAATCCAAAGGACGGCGGGCGTATCAAAGGAGTGAGATTTTGCCAACGAGGGATTGAAAGAGAAAAGAAAGAAAGATGGGATCGGGGGCAGTGGGGTTAGAGTTATATCTCAGTATCATAGTAACCTAGCTCCAAATCTCCCTATATAGCCTAGCCGCATGGCTAGACAGGGAATGAGTCCTATGGTGTATAGCGACGGGTGGGTGGGTAACACCGCCCCCGTGCACGATGATGTTTAAACGCTGCAAATAATAGTGTGGCAAGCAAGGACCGAGTATGGTAAACCGTCATTATGCTTCAATCCTAAAAATTAGTAGGCCTTTAGTCTGTCAAGCTTCAATCTTCCTCCTCTTGATAATATTTATCATGGTCACTAGGGGGTGGGTTATGATATGTGCCATATTTGATGCAGCTGCAGGTATGTACGTACACAAGCAAGACCCAAGAAAGTCGACTCCCGTTTGGCCATTCGTCGTGATAGGTTTGGGGTTTTGTTTCTTTCTTTCCCCAGTTTTCTCGGGGTAAACGTCCTCCCCTTCCCTGGTCCCGACTCAATATCCGATCGCTCCTTCCTTAACCGACGATGAATCAAGCTTTGGAGAACTTCAGCCGAGACATTTTCCTCCAATTCGCCAAATGTCGAAAACCAACCCGTGGATCTGGGTTTAGAGTTTTTTCTTCGAGCTTGAGGTTTGCATTACCAGCATGATGTAGGTAGGACAGCTCAGCTAGGAGAGAGCAAGGGTCCTGGGAGTAATAATCAATTCAAGATTCGAGATTTCCACACGCGGGCCGCTCGTCCTTTGGTGGCACAACGAATAAGACGTTATTCCTACTAGCCGTTTATTCACAGCACCTTGCAAGATGTGCCTGAATTTCTCGAAAAGGGGGGGGAAGGGGGAGGTCTTCCACGAACGTTCGATAGTTGCTATGGCCAAGCCTTTAGTAACCCCAATCATGAGGTTACTAATTGGCGCCCTAGCCATTAATCCTCTGGGCTCAAACAGCGAAGAAAAAAAAGGGAGATCTTTTTTTTTCCCTTTGAACTTTGAACCAATCGGTCGCTAATTGTCTCATAGCAGCTCCCCCCTATAGCATAGGTGCCATCCCCATACGGGCGACAGTGTGGTGTTTAGATGTCCACTTTCAGACGAAATAGTACTGTTTAGGGGTGGTGTTGCTAGGCTACGGCACGGGGCTGAGCCAAGCCGTTTTTAGTGGAGACCGTGGCTAGATGCCGGAAACTGCAAGCTCTGTGCACAAAAGATCACTCGAGGGACCAACCGCCGCCCCAATAGCCAACGGGATTGTCCGTAACGTAGAGCAGAAACGAAACTGGTCCGCATTTCGCTGCTCTGGGGCAAGCAGGCAGGGGCAGTGCCGGAGCGATCTGGACAGCTTCTACTCCCTCTCTCCCCACTGGTTCAAATTTTACAATTCTTCATGCCTTAGATGTTAATAAACCTTGTCGCGTGGGGCTCTCTTCCTCTAGCATCGGGCCAAGTTTCTTGTCTTTATGAGCTCCATCTTCAGCGACTAGCCGTCACCATCGTCATCGGGGTTTCTCTTTTCCCCCTACAAAGAGGTGAAAGTGCTGTTCTGGAGTAAATGAATTCCCATGCGCGGGTCGGAAGTTTCGCAGATTCACGTCGGAGCAAGAATGGATATGTAGGATAGTGGACATGGCAGCGGTCTGTTTGGACAAATTTCCACCTTGGAAGCACACTGACTGAACTTGAACAACTGCAGGCATAATTGCACTTTGACTGTCTGTCTTGGAACACCTCTTTACTTCTGCACAGATGCGGTTAGGGTCTGTGGGTGGCCTTTGCAAATCTCGCTTGTGTTTCTGTATTTTATTTTTTGTCTCGATGTGGTATGCAGACATACACAGATCATGTTTCATCTACACACCCTGCAGCTAGCTCTGCAACTATATAACCTCCAAGGCCGCCGGTGCGGCGACGGGGATGCACAGGGGCCGGGAAGGTGGGGGCGGGCAGGCAGCAGCAGCTCATCCAACTCAACTCAATCGTTCTGCGGCTGCGTTTCGCACTCTTTCAATTTCCCCTTCCGCGCCAGATAAGCTAATTACATTCATCACCATCAGCCAACCCACCATTCTCGCCAACGCCAAGTTACACTAATCAGTACTCACCAGCACCCGTATCCGCCCACACCTCATACTTCCTCACCTTGACCTCCCCGCCTTCCTCCACAAAGCCCAACGTATACGTAAACACCTCATTCCACGCCTCTCCCGTCGCCGTCCAGACGAACCTCGACCGTCCCCGCACACTCACCTTTTGCTCTCTTGTGTCGACTACGTAGTCGTCAAACTCCATGTTGCGGAACGACAGCTGGTCCGCCAGGATGCCGAAGTACTCGGCCACCTCGTCGGCGCCCCGGAACTCGCGGCCGACGAACGGGGCGAGGCACGGAAGACCGTGCTCGTGCGCGATGGGCGGCGGGGTGGTGCTAAAGTGCGTGAGGAGGGTGGAGGGCGGCTGCTCGTTGGCGAAGGCGGTGCAGAGGGAGGTGGCGGCGGTTTTGAGTGTGTCGTAGGATGCCATTTTGGTGGATGTTTGTGCGGATTTGGGCTTGGGAGGTAGAAGTGCAGCGGAGTTTATATGCTGCGGGAGTGTTTGGGGGTGATGTCATTGTTGACTGCGGCGGTATCCGAAGCTCATGTTGGGATGGGGATGATCTTCGTAAGGCTGCAACCGGCGAAGCGTATCGAGAAGGGTGCAGGGTGTTATTTGAAGAGAGAGTATATCATGATGCAGTATTTTCTTATACGAGGTGATGATTATATTGCGGAACCAACCAGTTTCATTAACATTACAAATAGCTATCGATACAAGCAAGAAGACATCAATCAACCCAAGGAAACTCCCAGCAACTAACAAATTAATAATACAACCAAAGAAACGAGCAAACAACTAATCATCCCCGATCAGATTATGAGATCTCAATCCTCCTCGACACCGGCGCCATCTTCGGCACCACAATCCTCAACACCCCATGCTCCAACCCCGCCGTTACCCCCTCCTGCTCAATCCCCGCCGGGAATGTAAAGCTCCTCTGGAACGCGCCAACCGTCCTCTCACTCACCCACTGCCTTGTCTTGAACTCCCTCTCCTTCCTCTTCTCGCCGCGCTTCTCTACCACCGCATCACTCTTCTTCTCCTTCCTGTCCTCCTCGTCGACATCATCCTCGACCGTCGCTTTGAGTGATCTTTCCGGTGAGGGTGTCCGTGACCCGCTCTTGAGCGTCTCGGAGGTGGTAGTTGAGGGGGACTTCTTTGAGATATGGCCCTTGATGACGAGCGTTACGGGGTCGGTGAACTCGATGCTGAGGTTTTGCTTCTCGAGGCCGGGAAGATCACCTTCGAGCGTGTAGGAGGTGGCGGTCTCGTAGACGTCGAACTTTGGGGAGAAGGTGCGGCGTTGGTGCTCGAGGTTGTGGAAGAAGAGGGTGGAGAAGTCGGGGGTGGTGGTGTAGTGTGGCATTGTGTATGGTAGTATGTTTAGGTTTTTGGGAGAGGTGGTAGGTATGGTAGGTTTGTAGTAGGTGGGCTTTTGAGTGTTTAGATAGAGGTACTTGATAGAGATTTTGATAGAGGCTTTGGAGCTTTAATAGCTAGCTAGGTAGGTATGTAGCGTAGATAGTAGTAGATAGTAGTAATAGACTTGTCTTGATGTTTTTTCTGATGATACTCCTCGACATCGGGAGACATCGCAGCGTTTATAACCACATTTGACTCGACACTTGGAAATATCTAGACGTCTCTTACCAACCCAGTGTCTATTGCGAATCACTCTCGAAGGCTCGCGAAGTTAGTAAGAACCCTGTCGAAGCTTCTGGAAATCCCTGGTTGCTACCGCACTATTCCGTTTGTGGACATCAGTTGGTTGTGCTGTGGATGAGTCAGCATATCGGCGTGTCACTCGGAAAAGGGCGTTCCTGAAGCTTCGCCTAGGAAAAAATGTGGTTTACTGAAATGTCAGCCACCAACCAAAGATGAAGATTTTATTACGATATGGGCAACCTCAGTTAGCAAATTAGGAATAAGTTTTGAGATTTACTTTTTATGGGCTTTCTAGGCATCTTGGTACATGCTTGGAACATCTAGATCAATATTTGGAGTTATGCGTTTAGGGTTACTTAAACCATATTTTGGGTGCAGAAAACCATATTCTTTGGCCTGCTATAAGTGTATGGGGCCACAGGCTATTCGGGAAGGGCCCGGGTCCATTCGTGAAACCGTCAAATCCTTGAATGGCCCCGAACAAATGGCAACGAAAGCCCAAACCAGAACCCCGGAAGGAGCCCCCCAAAAAAGGAAACCAAAAGAGAAAAAGTTAATTGGTATAGGATCAGTTCCTCGCTATGATGCCAGAAATTGGTTCCCGCAGTAACAATACAGTGAACTGAGAAAGTCTTGATTTTTTTCAGTCTTCTTATCTTTCAACTAGTTCCTTAACAAAGTGTCAAAAAGAAGGCACTGGCTTATCCTAATAGCGGAGAGTGTTATGGCCTATGGGCTGCATACATGAATGACTTATCAATCAATATATCATTCAATTCTGATAGCGGCCAAAATGTTTAAACCCCACAGTGCCGTGCGCTACTTCTACGATTACTAGGGCCAGTTGCCAGCCAGGACTACCCCCCGGAAGCGTGACCGGCCCCCTTCTCGAGTCCCCTGGTCTTCTGGCTCAAAATCATTTGAGCTGGGAACATAGCTCTTTTACTAGTTTCCCCGTTTCAATACTCCTTGGTACGGGGGCTGGCAAATCTACGGTTGGGCCGATTGAACGTGGGGTTTAAATATTTCCTCGTCGTTACCTTTTACAGAAGGGACATATACGAAATACGAGAAATCTCCTACAATATAAAAGCTAGGTCAGGACGAAAATGGTTTCACAAATGACGGGCACTGATTAGTCAGACCACATAAGATCGGAGACCAATCGTAGCAACTTAAGGACGATTATATATCAATGGAAGGGACCTAAAGCATGATCTGATAAATCTACAATCAAATCCTTTTATAAAGTTATGGATCCACCGAAATTGTTACCATATATCTAGGTCGTCAACGATTCTTCGCGGTGATAACACCGGGACAGCCCTTAGTACAAGAATAAAAGAAGTGGGGTCGTAGAGTAGACAGAAAGATAAACATAAAAGAAACAAAGAAAAGTAGACATGATAAATGAGATATAGATAGATGAATACATGTATCTTCCACGCGCATCCACAAGCCTTGAATCATAGACTCGAGAGTATGAAAATCGTCTCGAACGTTTTTACTGATTTTCGTCGATATGGATCTATTCTATGGTCAGTCTAATCTTAAGATCAGAATTGAGTGTCTGTAATGTTATAGCATACATCTGCCCTAGTTGCATTTCAAGAGTGAAAAGAGCTTTCTCCTGTAACGGCCATTTGATGGATACGACCCCCCATACCAACCGAAGCACGGCAACGATGTTTTTCACAGAATCCATATCTCAGAGATTTCTGTAGTGTGTCTGATCGTAGGAAGTTGTGGTCCGGATTATTCTCGTTCTTTGGGCCGGGGATGTAGTTAGTATTTATGTATATAAGGTATTGGGATAGTCTCGTTCCCAGACTGTTTTGTTGTCGCACTGCGTGCAGACACATGTCGAGCCACATCTTGTGTGCGTTCAGAGGCTACTCCGGGCAGGTAAAAAGTACCGGACAATGCAAGTTTTGTCTCTGGGCTTTTTTTGCAGTACCGTTATTTCTGGGTTATACGCCCATGGGCTTAAAGCAAAGTGGTGGGAGGAAAGCTAAGGAAAACTGGTGATGTATGCATATTCCCGTAACTTAAGCCTCTTTTCTACCAGCACTTTGCTTTAAGCCCATGGGCGTATAGATAACCCAGAAATAACGGTAGCTCACGCCTAGCACACGCACCCATTATTAGTGAACCAAAAATCTGCATTGTCCGGTACTTTTTACCTGCCCCGAGTATCCCCCCGGCCCCCCCCGCGCTGGCCCAACTCCGGCGCGCGTGTGCACGTGTGCCTATCTGTACCCAATCTTAAGCTTCATCGACTCTCCCCATGAAACTGAATCTTGGGTGATTCTCAGGAATTAACCTCCACTCGTATTAATTAAGACATACATTTCTGTATCTCCTGGTCCTGTTAACTCTTTTTCACAGGGTCTTTGGGAAGTCAAAATGAGCACAAACGTGAGTTGATCAGGGTCTTAACTTTACGCGTGGATGAAAGTCAGGCAGGGTGTTGTAGAATTGACGGATGGGACTAGGCTACATGAGACGTGACCACCACCACCACCACCACCACCACCACCACCACCGCTACCGCCACCATTGCAACTACTCTAGAATATGCTTATCTCGACAACCATCTTCACTTATTAAATACCAAATTTCAATTTGAAAATGAAACGCACCATAGAGTAGAGTCCTCGACTAACTTTGGAGGCTGTGGACGGAGAGATATATGGGAGGATTCAAGTGGGTCTTTCCACACTATGATAGCAATGGACACTTATGAAAACACCTTTTTTGATGTTATCCAACTTACGAAAGGTGTGCCTGGCGTGCCCACTACCTGTACATGGAGGAATAGGTACATGTACCTACATCAACTTAGAACTCGCAGCGGTTACTCCTAGGCCCATAATCCTCTCCCTGCTTGTACTATATACAAAACTACATAGGTATAAATGTACTACGTCATGGTCTTGTATCCTTACACGCATAAGCTATAGAAAATCCAAGTGTTTTTTTTCTCTCTCCTCCCCCGCTCCCCCCAAGTGTCTGCATACATGTAGGTACTCCACCTCCCCCCCCTCCCGGGCACCCTCCCCCCTTCTTTATTCGCGTCACTAAATGCATGTACCTACATGTATCTAGTGAGTCCTCCAATGTAATTGAGGGAAAGATCATTCAACTGACCAGGAATAAAATCACGTCAAAACTAACCGTCCTCAGCGTGGTGCCAGCACGCGTTCGAAAATTTAAATTGACGCGATATCCACGTGCGGGCCCTCTACCCCACCACACATCACTATGTAGTAGCAATCCCTTAAGCCGTCAGGACCGATTTCAATCCTGTTACTCAAACCCAATACGGAAGTCGTGATATAAACATCGCAGAGAAGTGATCATGATGCATAGCTCCTCACACTACTTCTTATCGTTAAACCGTGATAGATCACCTCATCATGATCACTTCTCTGCGATGTTTATATCACGACTTCCGTATTGGGTTTGAGTAACAGGATTGAAATCGGTCCTGAGCCTCGTTAATATTTTCTATTTAGCCTAAAGAGGTGGGACCACAAGCCATGGCTCAGTCGCATCAGGACCTGATTTATGGTGCCCCCAGTCTTAAAGGTAACATAAGAAAAACGCCAAGTCCCTTATAACTTTTCTACCGAAAAATCTGTCAGGTCATTCTCTTGTTTTTACTATTTCTAGAACTTGTTCTGACTGATTTTTAATATCTATCGTGGTTGAAAAGTTATAAGGGACTTGGCGTTTTTCTCAGGAATCGTCTTCGAGAATACGAACCCTGGTCGACTTCGCCCCAGGAATTGTGCGAATACATATTTGCCTCAAAGCTGCATAAATTATACTGTAAGCTAGCACCAGCTCCTCGTTCTAACTACCGCAGTAATTCGTCTCAGCCAGTGTGGTCCACGAGGCACGAAGTGCTTCGCCCTCGTGGACCACACTGGTCTCAGCGGACGCTCACATTGACGTTGAAATTCCTTGATCTGGTCATTTGTCTTGAAAACGCCCCCCCTCAACTTCCCTCATACACGCTGTAAATGGCAACTTCGACGTCTGTGTAACCGTCCGCTGAGACGAATTACTACGGTAAGTACCAGAAATGATCAGATTTATGGAGGACAGACTCGCATCAATTTACATTACGCCGCGGGAGCTGCATTAATGGCATTCCGAAATTGTTTTTGGTCCATCGACCTATTCCAGCCTTCTCGATTGCGGCCTTCTCGTTGCCAAGTCATTCGTGCTCTGCCTTCCCCATCGGTATTGAATAAACGAGAATAAATTATTTTCGCCTACAAAACTTTCAATGCCATGTATGTACCTACATGGACCTGCAGTTCATGCCCAATGTGTACGTTTCACAAGAGTATCTGTTAGCAAGGGTCGGTATAGCTAACGCGCCTTAGAACAACAAACAGAAGGTTCAAGAATTAGAGAAGGCTGGGGCCGAGCCTTGTCCTATCCCCAGCTTCAAGATATGATATACAAAGCTTGACAAAGCATAGATCTCTCCAAGGCTACGATAAAGTTGACCCGGGACTCGAGCTGCTCGACGTACGCACTTACATATGTCGACTAGCTCCAATTATCAGGGCATTATAAGAACTTCACTCTTTCCGATTGGGTGTCATTTTTTTTGACCTTATGGGTCTACTCATAAACAAATAAGACATAGATGTGGGAGGATCGCTCGGATGGAGTTTGCGAATG